TTATAGATGAAATATATAAGATATTTTTTATATTTTTATTCTTTTTATTTTATATATAAACTAATTGTATGTGTAATAATATATTGTAATTTATATAAAAATTAAAAAATATTTTAGTATTAATATATAATTACTTTTACTATAATAAAAAATTAATCCTTTTGAGTAAGACATAAATGACAAAAATTTACTTTCTATTTTGTTTAAATTTGTATTTAATATAATATTATATTAAAAAAAATATATTAAGAAAAAACAAAATTGAATAGTACTAAAATTCTAAAATTACTTGTTCATTACTAATTTTAACAAAGTTAACAAATTAATATTTAACTATTATCATCGATTAAACATTTATTTACAACAAATGTCAATATATTTACTATACTTTATTCTTCTTTATTTTTTATTATTTCTAATTAAATTTTAAAAAATACCCGAAATTACTTTTTTATTTTTATCAATTTTTTAATAAATATATATTTTTTTATTTTTTTGTCGAATTTAAATGTTCTAAATTTACTGGACGGTGGAAGTATTATTGTTACGTTGAGTAAAAAAAAAAAAAAAAAAAGTTTAAATTCCAAAAATGATTAATGGTTTTATCCGAAAATGAACAAAATATTTGATCCAAAATAGTGAGACAAATCAAGATTTGATCAAATCTCTAATTGGGACATCACTCACTTATAAATCCCACTGTGGGCCCCATCCCACTCCTCAAATTACCTAAATACCCCTCGTTTATTTATTTATTTTTTTCCTTAATTTTTTCGTAATGAAAGTGGTGGCCACGATTATAAATATTTATTATTATTATTTATTATTATTATTATTATTTGTTGTAATCGATAATATTGTATGAACGAATATTTTAAATGAAACAGTGATTAATAATATCTATTTGTTTTTTTGCACGAAATTTTAGAAATATTAGTATTATATTAAGATAAAATAGAAATAAAGATAAAAAGACTAAATTAACCCTAATATGATATAAAAGTAATGATATTTGTGTAATATATTATAAATTAGAAGGGTATTTATAATGTTAGGTAGACAGTACAATTACTAAAAAAGAAAACAGATACTTTGTTATGGAACGGACCAAAATGAAAAAATGGATAGATTGTTAAGGGACAGAGGACGTATAATTTTATTTTAAAAATTATATTAACATATACTCATTTTGTCTACTAAATATATGCATATATTTTTTATTTTTTTGTGTAAAGAATATGTATTTTTATTTATAAATAAATAATTTATATACCATTTTATTTATATTTGTTAATATTATATTTTATTACAAAATATTTTGCCATTTATTTACACAGTAATTCCTTTGAAAAATTTATTTCACTTTATTAACTTATTTATACATTTAGCTAACAAACATTTTACCTTATAATTAACTAATATAATATTATATTCATTAAAATTCGAATTAATTAATATAATATTATATTCATTAAAATTCGAATTAATTCAAATAAATATATATTTTGTTTGTTAAAATTTGTTCTTTTTTTATTTTTATTTTTGAAATAATTTTTTAGATAGTAGAAATTTAGTAATTTTTTAAATCACTTTACCTTTACTTTTTATTCATTTATTATTATTGTTATTATTATTATTATTTTTAATGAATTTCTAATTTGTGTTAATAAAGGTTAAAGTTTGAAAAAAAAAAAATAACAAAAATAATAGACAATTTGAAAATTTTTAAAACATCTCAAATTAAAAATAATAAGAAGATTTTGTAGGGAAGAAATAGTAAATAACAATGGATTAGAAAATACAAACAAACATGATTTACATTTTTTAAATCTATTGATTTGGTTTTTGTTTTTTTAATATACTTCTAATATTTTAGTGTAAAAATAATGTATACTTTAAAGATATATTTTATTTTTATTTTTTTTTTAAAAATAGAATTATATGATAAATGAAGTTTGAAAAATAAAATTATAAATAGAAAAAGCCTTTTTAATCTTATTAAATATGATTAAATATAGTCTATTATTTAATGTTGATTTAATGATGTGTTTGGTTGGAAGATTAGATTTTTATTTGATATAATATAAATATATATTGATAAAATATTTTAAATTAAAATTATTTTATAGTATAATATAAAAAAAAAATAAATTTGATATTTTTTTTAAAAATAAAATTTAGTGAATAGTATAAAAATCTGACAAAATCTCGAACACATAATGAAGAAAAAATAAATCACGTGACTCACAGTTGCACAAATACATTGTATCCTAAAACTTGTGGTATCTCAAAGTATAGCCGTTTTGCAATAAAAGATTTTTAACTAGCATTTGTTTATTTAATATTTTAGTTTGAGATTTTTTGTTTATTTTTTAGTATTAAAATATTTTTTTTTGAGAAAATAAAATATATATTTATATTTTTTAATTTAAAATACCTTTAATTTTTTTATAAAAATATTTATTTTATTTGTTCTTTTAAAAACAAAAATGTCAAAACAATTTTACAGTTTTAGAAATCAATAGAATACTAGTATTATTTTTTAATCTATTATAAAGAATAAAAATTGACAAAAAAATACACACTGTTGTGTTCTTCTACTATTCCCCAAAACACAATTTTTTTCAAAAAAAAAAAAAATTAATATATTACACATACTTATTTTTTATACTCCCTTCGTCCCATAACAAAGTATCAATTTTTTTATTTTAGTCCGTCCCATAACAAAGTATTTATTTATTTTTTAATAAATGTACTTTCTACTTAACATTACAAATACCCTTACAACTTACAATATATTAACAAATGAATATTCTTTTTGGGACGGAGGGAATATTACTTACACAATTTTCTGTAACATATACAGAAATATCTCTTCATAATATTTCATTACACAAACACATGTTTTGTTAATTTTGATCATTCAAATACAAAACATTCATTTCACTTTTTAATAAATATATGAAGCTCACCACATAAATATTTTTAAATTTATATTATCTACATCACTATCATTATATCAAATTAAAATACAATGATAAAGTAATTTTTACCTACCAAAATACATCACTAACTATAATAAAAATGAAATATTTATACTCTATAAGAAAATAAAAATAAAAATAAGAATGTTCTTTTAATAAAAATATACACATATTATTTTTCCATTGTACATTATTTTAATACTAAATTAAAACCATTTTTTTTTTTAATACATAAAAAGAAATATACCCATAACCTTTTTTCAACAATATAATAATAATAATAATAATAATTTGAAGAGAGACCATTCTTGTGGAGATTCTCCAATGCATTGTCAATTTCGAGGGGCCCTCCTAATAGAAACAAATAATAATAATAATAATAATATAATAATAATAATAATAATAATAGGAAATATTTATATCTAACCAAATATACAAATACATTAATTTTCGTGCATAAAAAAATAAAATAAAAGAAGTTTCTGTTGGTTAAGGCATGCCGTGCACATCAGAATTTTGTGGGCTCAATTTTAATTAAATTATTTTTTTATTTTTAAAAAATTATATTTCAAATAAATATATAGTAATATATTTGCATAGTGGTTGCAAATCTTGCACTCTAACTGCAGTTTGACAACTATACACATACATCACTGTGCGTACGGTATTGAACAAAAAGCGTGTTTCACACTCCAACGGCAGATTTCAAGCAGTGTCGCATTTTAGGGTAATAGCGCTTTTGTCTTTCTTGATTGCCAATTCCATGGGGCTCTCCCTATCTCTATATATCTCTACTCTCTACAACTTAAACAAGCCACTATATATATATATATATATTAATTTTATTTTTAATATTTAATAAATAAAAAAAACCCTAATTGAAAAGATAGACGTATGTCTCTACCTTTTCTTCCCTTGGCACCAGCTAATGTTCCCCAAATTGATCCCAATTCTGTTGCAAAAGAGTTGGGCACGATTTTGCCCTCACAGGAAAAATCCCATTTCGTGTGGTGAGGCAAAGTCCAATTCTGTCGATATCCCACAAGGGCATTCTTGTCAATTCACAAGATGCCCTCCATTAAAGGGCAAGGCCAAGCTCTCTTTCTCTCTCTCTAAAACCATAAGAATGAATGACATAAGGTGACTTCACCCTTACGGAGCTGCCACTCCCAACCCAAATTTTCAATCAAGATTTTTCTTTTGGGGGGAGTTATTTTAGTTGATAGTAATAATTATTGAAAAAAATCAAAATAAAATAATCAATAAAAGAATCATCCTCAACTCCACCCAATGGTCCCAAAAACAAGTTCAACCAAAATTTCCTTTCCAAGTTTGAATGGAAATCCAAATTCCCAGCCCAAACAGGCTCCAAAATCCTAATGCCCCAACAATCAATCCAATCAATGGGAGGAGAGAGAGAGAGAGAGAGAGAGAGAGAGAGAGAGAGAGAGAGAGCAAAAAATGAAATGAAGAGATCAAGAATGGTGGAGGGAGGGAGGGGGGGCAGCAATTAGTCTCCTATACGGCTCAAACAACACAACACACAGATCTAATTCTAAATTAAACCTACCTAATCAAATAATCCAAATCCAGCCAAGAAAAGGACAAATATTCACAGCAGCATATGTCAGCATAGTCGAAGAAAAATGCTAAGAGAAGAAAACGCATTACCAGCTACGGTTATTCCCATAAAAACAGGGTGTGGGGTGTGGGAAGTATTGGCAGTTTCGTGGAGTTCCATTTGAGAAGAAAGTTTTAACCTTTATGCCCACACACACACCTAAACAAAGAAGAAGAAGCCATGTTAGAGTGGAGTACAACTTTATTCATAAAATTGCGTCAAAGTAAGTGAGGAGAGAGAAACAGAAATAGAAATAGAAAGAGAAAGAGAGAAGAAGAGATTGAGTCTACCTCACGCCAAATGGGTTCTCTTCACACATTATTATTTTTCATTTTTATTTTATTATCCCTTCAAAACAAGCCCTTCCCTTCCCTTCCTCAACGCCCACCATTACTATAAAGCACCCTTCCTTTGCCTCTTCTCGCATTACCTATCCCCTCCTCTCTCTCTCTCTCTCTCTCTCTCTCTCTCTCTCTCTGCTTCTCTTGTTTTATCACGCTGCCTTGTTCAACTAAGAATAATAGTAATAATAAAAAGGGAGTGTGGGTACGTGTGGGAGGGATTCTTGACCATTGATGATGAGTTTGAGCTTGTTCTAAGAAAGGGGTTTTTGAGAGGGGGGCTGGAAAAGGCAATCTTGGTTTCAGTTCCTCTTGTGTCAAATAATATAGAGAATAGATGGAGTCGAGAGCCAACCTTGTCAAGAATGGGGTGCTGAGACTGCCGCCTGGGTTCAGATTCCACCCAACTGATGAAGAGCTCGTGGTACAATACTTGAAGCGCAAGGTGGCGTCATATCCTCTGCCGGCTTCTGTAATCTCTGAAGTTGAGGTCTGCAAGTTTGATCCCTGGGATTTGCCAGGTTAGTTGGTCAAAACCCATCAATTATCAAATTGGAAAACACAAAACCAGAAATAAATCATAAAAAAAGATCATACCTTTCTTGCTGATGCTGTTAGTTTGTAATTTTGTAATAATTTCCATGTATATATATGTAGGTGGTTCAGAGCAGGAGAAGTATTTTTTCAGCACTAGGGAGGTGAAGTACCCAAATGGGAACCGGTCGAATAGGGCCACCGGTTCAGGCTATTGGAAGGCAACAGGACTGGACAAGCAGATAATGAGCTCCAGGAGCCACCAGATTGTGGGGATGAAGAAGACTCTAGTGTTCTACAGAGGGAAGCCTCCAAAGGGTTGCAGAACTGATTGGGTTATGCACGAGTATCGCCTCAGTAGCAATAGTTCCCAACAGCAGCAGCTGGGCAAGGATTTAGGCCAGGTGAGATATTTCAGCTGGACCCCTTTTTCAATCATCCCTGTAATGTAATGAAAAAAAAAAGCCAATGGAAGTTAGTTGCTAAAAATGGCTGTCTGCAGGAAAATTGGGTCCTCTGCAGGATTTTCTTGAAGAGGAGAGGCAAGAAAAGTGATGGTGATGCTGCTGCTGCTGAAACAGGGAACAAGAAGACCGGTTCAGCACCGGTTTTCTATGATTTTATGGGTAAGGAGAGGACTGACCTGAATCAACTCCCTGCTGATTCAGCCTCTGCTTCAAGTGGGATCACAGAGATTTCAAACAGGAATGAATCAGAAGAGCTTGAAGAAAGCAGCAGTTGCAATAGTCTGCCCACTTCTCTAGCAAGAAAGCAATGCCCCTAGAAAAGTTTAAAAAAAAAAAGAAAACACCATGTATAGAGAGCCAAGTCCTCTTCCTAATTTAGATTTCAGGCAGTCAAGTTTAAGACCTTAATAACCTTTTCTTTTTTATCAATGCTACTTTGTAGTCTTTTTGTCACTCTCTTCTTCATTAAAAAATAATGCTGTGAACAAACTGCCTCAATATGAAGTGGGGAAATCAAAATTACTAACACAAGTTTTAATTATCTAGTGCAAATTAATTTCTGAACTGAAATAAAGTTTGTAATAGTTATGACCTAAGTTAACCACTGTTTCCCCTTGCTCAGACAGTCCTTTTGCCTTGTAAGCAAAAGGGCTGTGATCATCTTTGGCAAGCTAAAAGAGCTTTGGATGAAAATCATGTGAAAGAAGAAAGGGTAAAGTGGGATCATGTGCAAAAATGCATTAGTCTCCCCTAAAATGAGCATGGACCTGTGCTTTTGTTGAAAAAGATAAACTTTTTTTTTTTTTACCAAGCAAAAGAATAAGAACACAATCTTTGCAAAATCAGCATATTGCCACAGCATGTGGTTCCTCAGGAACCTGAAAAGGCAATTTTATTAGGAATCAAATTCCCCTCTTATATCACTGTAATTGCATTGATTAAATCAAAATTTTAAATACAGTATAAATTCAAAACATTCTCTGTAGATCAGCCTGCAAGTTAAGAACTTAGAAGTAGTCTACATAGACAATAATGGCAAGCAAAGGGCAAAGTAGGCATTTCCCTTCAGGGAACAGAATTCACTGAACTTTTGAAATTAGAGGACCAGTTGGTGAAGTAGAGAGCAAATTTTAATCCTTCACAAACCAAAGCAATTTCTTGCAAGTTATTCCATGAAGCATCTCTAGTGGATTGGCCAATGGTTGCATAAATTTCAAGTCCTTTGAGGGGGGGCCATTCCTTGCACCCCTGTCTCTCCTCTCCCCCACTAAATATAATGCTCAAAAAACTAGTAAAGATTAAGCCATAAAGATTGCCCACTACCCATCAACAACTATATACACCTTTGACTTGTTTATTCCTTTATACAAACAAAACATTTGACCTTATTGAGCACAACAAAGCATTTTTATTCTTTTAATTTTTTATAATTGATCTTGTTGTCAAGCACTCCTCCTATTCATTTCTTAATGCATTTTCAATAGTCTTTCATGTTACGTACAAGCATTAGAGGCACATGCCTCATATAAAAACTCCAATCTTTGCAGGTAGTTGACTCACCTCAAGCATGCTCAAATATTACAACCACTACTCTCCAAACCCTGATAGAAAGTTAACCAAGGAAAAAATATTCCTCAACTGTATAAAATATCTTTAAGTAGAAAATCCCAAGAAAAGAGAAGATAAAGAAAATGATCATTATCGTAATCCATATAGCGTCTAATGAGTTGCTTTCCAAGCAGGTTATTGATGATTTCAGGATGTTTGGGACTTGTGTGATTGATGATATCAGGTGAAGGGAAAATTGTAGACAGGGTTAAAAATGGAAGGCATGAGATATTGACAAGTGGATGAATGAGAGATTATGGACGGCATATACTTATATAAATAAACACATATTATTAAGTGTTTAATTGTGGAATAATTATTTTTAGAACATGACATTACCATAAGAAAGAACCATCTCTCTCTCTCTCTCTCTCTAAAAAATTTTAGAAAGTAAATATCAAGAATAAATATTGCCGACCAAAGTTCCTTGCGACACTGGTTCAGAATCATGTAAGGGGGCTGTTGGAGTTCTTCACGTCACCTATTCTATAAATACATATCATTTTCTATACATATCTCATCAACATGTCATGTCTCAAGGAGGAAGATGGGGTGAGGTTCTTGGGATGTGGTTTGATCATAATTTGGATATCTTCCAATTACACTTTGACCTTTTATATCTGTTATATTACCAAAATATAGAATAAAAAGTGTGGGAGAGACCCCCCATATCCCCTACAAACAGCTGCATATCAAGGACAATTATAAATAATCAATGGTGTAGACAGGCAGGCCGTAGTGGTAGACCACAACAGAAGAAAAAACTAAAATAAAATAAAATAAAACCACCATACCATTAAAGAAAACGAACCCCACAAACACACATAAGTCCAAATTAAATTATAGTAGGAGAATTTTCAGAAATAGTTTTGGCTTTGGTGGAGAAGGGCATCTTGGAGATTACACTCGATGTAGAAGTTGCATACAAGGAACGTGTATAATTTGCCAATTATGCAAGTTGACCAATTCAAAGAGCAACCACTTGGTGAGTGTTGTGTTTGCACAAAATAATAAAAGAGAAAGGTTGCTTAGAGTCCATGCAACAAAGACATTTTGTTTCTTTACCCATATTCAACCAATACCCCCTGCCCCATCACAATATATATCACTACTAGGCCCCGCTCATAACCATGTGATTAGAAAAATTGGTTCTTTGATACATATCCCAACTTATATGCCAATAATCACACCAAAAGCTCAACATTAACACAATTATTGATTCGTTCCAAATCTTCTGCCATTATTTTTTATTTGGGATGCTTCAAAACTTCTGCAATTTTTCTTCTTTTACACTTTTAAATAAACAGTAAGCACATAGAAAACCTGTAGTATCATGTTTCATTCTTGACCGTGAGAAAAGGACAGCCGGTACAATTAGGAAGTTTAATTATATTTCAGGAAGAGTATGGTAGTAACTAATATTAGCAGTACCTGGCAATTAGGACCAGTCTAAGCTAGTCTGGGATAGCATCTTCATATAATTTTTCAACACCTAGAATTTGGTGGGATTGATCAATTCTTCCTGCACCAAGATAGGTGAGAATAAGACAGTCAGCTCAGCATTATAAAGGTTCATAAAGAAGAAGAGACAGTTGGAATGAAGATGGAAATAATACACTAAAGAGGACTTGTGCTAGAGATATGGAACACATTAAATTTCAACTCTGAAGTTCTTCATATGTTAACATCACTCCATAAGGGACAGAAAGTGACTGGTAAAACATACCAGCTTTCAGTGGCCACAACATGCAGCAAAGGAATACTTATCGCCTCCGAAATGGACCACTTAACAAATCAGAAGATTCAACATCATCCTTCGATGATTGTAGCCATATTGAAGAGCAAACCTTTTGAATCATAAAACCTTCATATTGCTCCCTAGTTAAGGACCAACAAATGTGAAAAATAGATGAAAACTGTTACAAGGATGGCCCTTTCAATTAACCCTAAAAACAGAGCTATTGACAAAGCAGAAATTTTCATTTCATCCAAACTTCCAACTGATTAGTTGGGTGCAAAGAAAAGAATACAGATACACATAATAGTTTCCAATTTTCTTTTTCCTATCCAAAGATCTGAAAAAGAAGCTTATAACTCCTATTTTCCCAAGCTAATCTTCGAATATTTAGGTCTCCTTGGAAGGAATTTTCATGCCTTCAGCTTGTGATAGTTCTTGGGGCGATGGCTCAGAACATGCCCTCAAAACAGCCTCATTCTGCAGAGAACATGTCATCCATAAGAATGTTTGAAATCACATGGAACATACCCAAAGGGTTTGTTGACATTGTGAAATAAAAAGGGAGCTTGGGACCTTTAATTTCAAACTAACTTCAAACTTCTCTCAATCTTGCCATTCTTAAGCATACTTAAGCATGAAAAATATTATAATAGAATGTTAGATCTGGCTAAATTCAGCATCAATCAAAGAATATCTTTTTACCTTGCCTTGTTCTTGGTGTTCATAATAAGATATGGTAATACAAAATTAAAGGGGAATGTGATTTGCAGAGAAATAATATGGATTACAACTGAAACTAGCAAAATAAGAAAGCAATTTCAAATAAACCCGAACATATGACATCCTGCTGCATTAAAAAGGTTATAGTTCTAAGAGTCTACAGGAAGCTTGAGATTCAATAAAAGCTAGATCTGAAGTTGCAAGTCCACATCTAAGTTCTTATATGGCACCTAGGTGAGTAGCCATATATCCCGCTCAATGCCTACAATGTGACACTCAATTTTAGCTGAATCATGGCAGAAGATACAAAACCAAATGTGTTTCCTCTGTAGAGAAAAAACTACACATTCTGGCAGTTTCCCTAATAACCTTCCATCTAAGATGCACATAGAAACGAAAAGACTAACACGGATAACCAAAATAACAAGCAGGGCGTAGTTTGTAGTATCCATTATTTAATTGTCGAAACTGCCTTCGGACTTTCTATGTACCAACTAAAATAGTGTCTGTGTCTGGTGTTCAGCTCAGAATCGAAGTTGATTAATCACAGTCACTTACGGAACACTCCCAAGATAAAATACAATAAAATGCAAGTGGTAATATTTTCAATGAATAGGATTTATTTCTGCTGCTTATTTCATTAGTGAAACGTTAATAAAGAACAGAAAAATCAATTTCGCATTATGATCCCATAGATATCTTGAAAAAATTAACCCAATTAGAGTAATTACAGAAAGACATAAGAAGGAAGGGAACATGAAATCAAAATTTAAAGGAGGAAATGTAAATTGTTCTGTATAAACAATTGATAGGAATCGAATCAACAACTCATAATTCAAAAAAGAGAATAACAATCTTTTATTTATCAAGAACTAACCCAGTACAGCCTGTATATATAGGACACAAATATATTAGTATACAAGGATCCATTCATCAAATATCATAAACGAAAACGATTAAACGAACCATCGGAATACAGGAATCTAACGCAATCTTAAACAGGCATTACATCAAACAGGTGGTGTGCACAACACACATCTCGAAAAATCGTTACTTTCTTTGACCGAACACCAAAACAAACAAAAATGCAATATCAAGAACTAGCTCTTCGAATTAAAAATTCAATTTTCTATATGAGTACCTGCCAAACGCGGCGGAGGCGTTTCTTGGCGTTGGCTTTGCGAGTGGAGGTGAGTTTGATCCTCTTCCAAAGAAGACCACCTGAATCGTGCTTCTTGACTATCTCTAGAACTCTAGTTCCCCAAAACGCGCCCCATGCGGCCGCCATTCTCTTCTCTGCAAGCAAGCAGAAAGCTTAAAGATTTACGCTGAAATCTCGACGGAGACGAATCACGTAAAATGTCCTCGTTTTCATTTTCATGGGCTTTCAAATTAGGGTTTATTTTTAAAAGCCCATTGGACCATAATATTTTATTTTTTTGTAATTTTTGTTTAAAAGTCTAATTTAATATGTTTATTTAACGAAAATTTCTTTAAATTTACTATTTGGACATTGTAATTTTAAAAATAATATTTTTTGTACAAAATAATTTGTTAAATATTATTTAAATATAAATTTAAAATTAAATCTTAAGTATTTATTTTAAAAATAAAAAGTCTTAAAAGTATTTTTATTTTTCAATTATATTTTAGATTTTATGTTTTTAATAAATATTCTCTCCGTTCTATTTGCGGTGTCCACCAGTCAATTTATGTCTTCCCACTAATTTAGTCATTTTGGTTTTTTTGAAAAAAATCTATTATTACTTTTATTATACTATAATTATTTTTACTAATATATTATTAATTATTTACTAATTATATTTTTCATAAATTCTCGTGTCTATCATCAATGAGATATGATAGCCGGACAGATGAAGTAACTGCTAATTAGAATATTTTATTTATATAAAAAATAGTATTCCCTCTGTCATTCAATTATGTGTTAGTTTGACGCACGAATTTTAAGAAATAGATAAAAATAAAAAAAAAATTACTACTTTTTAGAATAAAAAAATATTCCCGCCGTTTCTTAACAATTTATCCATTTTTTTATTTTGGTCCGTCCCATAACAAAGTATCCATTTTCTTTTTCTTTTTTTTAGTAATTATATCATCTACCTAACATTACAAATACCTTTCTAATTTACAATATATTACACAAAATGTCATTACCTTTATATCATACAATACTAATAGGGTTAATTTAGTCTTTTTACCTTTATTTTTACTTTATCTACACAAAATAAATTTAGGTAAAAACCAGAAAAAAGAAAATTATACTCCCTCCGCCTCACTTTCCGGTCTGTCAGCTAAATTTACTCTATTACTAATTTTGGCAAAGTCAGCAAATTAACATTTAACTATTATCATTCATTATTTTTTGTTAATATTCAACCCAAATGTTCTAATTTTTTAGGACGGAGAAAATAATAAATTTTGGATGATATAGTGAATATTCTCTCTACTATTATCTATCTATTTTTTGTAGCATTTAAGTATCTTAGTTTGTTCATGAATTTGTTCTTATTTTTTCACTTAAATAAAAAGATCTTTATATTCTACACAATATAAAAATTATAAAAAGAAAAAAAAAACTTTAAAAACCAATAATAGATAGATGAACTGAGAAGAAGTGTATAAACAAAGGTGAGAGAATTTGGAGATTTGAAAAAAATAAAAAATAAAAAATTAGTATTTGATTTGATATTTTATAAAAAAAAATATATATATATATTTGATGTGATATATTTTAAAAAATAAATAATATCAAATGAGTGAAAATATATTTTTGTAAACAGAGCCAGAATTTCTGTAAAAAAAAACTACAAAATTGCATTAAATACAAAAAAACTCAAACAGACAAACAAGCCCTTGTCTAGAACAATCAAATTCATTGTCTCCTGGTAAGTCGTAACTCAAGTTTGTCCAATGGTGTGCACTTACTTTTGATTTTTTTATTTTTTCTTTTAAATTTCATTTAAAATACGATTTTTTTATGAATATATATATATATATATATACACACTATATCCTTCCTGTCATCTGTTTTTTTTTTTAATGATAATATTTGAATATTAATTATTATATCAAAATATAATATAAATTATAAAAAAATTGCAAAAATATTTTTATTAGTATCTTATAATATTAATAAAAAGACATTTGTAAAAAAATTATATAAATACAAAGATATTTTTAACGTGGAGTACAATGTAACTTTTGAAGACCAACGAAAATAAAGTATATTTTTTTTAAAAAATAATCATACAAATTTAATAGTTAAGAAAATAACAAAGCCAACAAAGTCTAATGTCTTAAACCCTTTTTTTTCGACTCTACTTCAGCTCAGATAAATTCGAAGTCCTAAACCGCCGGAAACCGGCGTCCATTTGCCGCTCCGGCGACCGGAGCCGTCTCTCCGGCCGTCTATCTTCTCAAGCCGACGTCCATATCCATCGGGTTCACAAAACAATACCCGGTCCTCGAGCACGACCCGACTCCTGCATTTTTCAATCCGACGGCCCGACGCCTCTCGATTTCGCTCCTCTCGCCTCTCTTCCGTAAATTCCGCCGCCGTATAATCGCGCTAAGCCTCTCCCTCCGGTACCGGCAATTCAACGGCACCGGGATCGCGTCGAGCCCCATCAATTTCCCAACGACCCCCGGCTTGCACCACACGACGCTCTCGCCCCCCACCACGTCCGGAAGCCCCTGGCCCCCCGCTGCCGCCTTGCCGTCGTCGTCGTATTCCCGGCCACCCCGCATCGGCGCAGCGAATGACGACCGGTACATCGCGTCCTTGCCGTCGAGGGAAAATCGAGGGTACTGATTCAGGGCATTCCTCGCCGTCCGGAGGATGTCGGAGCTGTTCACGCACGACATCCGGTGGCGCTCGATCCCGCCGGAGCTCCGGCGACCTTTCCGCGCTGCCGCCGATGACATCATCTTTTCTTCCATCTCGATTTGCGCGATCATCTCCTCCAATGTCGCTGGCCCCGGCCGGGTTTCTCCGACCGGGGAGTTGAACACCGGCCTTTCCACGGTCGTGCACGTGGAGGAGCCGCCGGGATCGGCACCACCGCCGCCGCCGCTTTTGATCTGTTGGTTGAGTGTCGAGGTGGAACTTTCATTGTTGCAAAAGTTTTTGAATCCTTTCTTTATCATCTTTGCGCCGAAGGAATTCTTGAGGAGAAACATCGACAAGTCCTTCATTTTTCTCTACATAAAAATGGAATTCGTAACAAAAAAATATACTTAATTTTTTTAAAAAATAAATAAATAAATATGGGAAGAAATTAAATTGGGATTTATTTTAAATATTTTTAAAAAATTTCCCGAGATGTATGGCTTTAAAGACATTCACATGAATTGTGATGCTTCACATGTTTAGTAAATGAACCTTTTTTTGGCATTTTGCCTTCATTGCAAACTTATTACAAGCAAAAGGACGAATGTTTAGTTAGAGTTTAGTTTCATTTTTTTTTACTTTGACTTTTTTCTTGATTATCATAAAATTATACTCCCTCCGTCTCAGATATCATGTCCATGTTGCCGTTTTTGTCCATGTCCGTCCCACATGCCATGTTACTTTCTTTTTTTGGAAAATGATTACACTTTAATCTTATTTTAAATTTTTAAATTTTATTTTTTTAAAATTTCGATTAAACTAATTAATTATCTTAATCTTAATTTATAATTATTTATATTATACGATAATTATTTTCACTAATACATTTTTAATTATCTACTAATTACATCCCTCCTAAAATACCGTGTCTACAGTGTAGCAGACACGATATCTGGGACGGAGAAAGTAGTGTTTAAATTACTGTTCAAACTAAAATTTCAGATAAACGAATTCTTTTTTTAAATCGAATCCAAATGACTGTTTAAACTAAAATTTAAACGAGTTTTTCTTAAGAGGTGGGCTACATGGGATCGACGCTGTCGCCGTGACAAGGGATGGTAAACAATGGGAATAGGCAAATGGGAGAGATTCTTGTGAATTTTGTTGAAGAGCTAATGAATGAATAAGGACAACAATGGGATTCTTGCTTGCTTCTTCTTCTTCTTGAGAAGTTCTTTCTTAGAGGACAACAATGGCGATTGGGAAGAGAAAATTGGTAGGGACAAACTTCAGCCATGTCCAAAAAAGGTACACTCTTTGTATATCTCTAAGTAGATTGATCTTGTAATAAAACTCAAAGAAGACGATTTCGTGTTTCGTCATGTGTTCGACAATGTCATACATGAATAAAATCCATCGACTATATCGGGAGATCGCATAACATCTAAACCATAATCTTTCGATTATTGATAACGTTACCGAGCTGTCGAAAAGTGATAACGTTACCGAGCTGTCGAAAAGTGTATTTTTCGCAAACACAAGGCATCTACACGATGAAATGTAAAGACGAGAAATCACACAACATCTTGTTTTTTCGGGGGATCCGAAACGACGACGACGGTGGAGGGAGGATGGTATGTACATGATATAGGCAAAATCGGGCGTTCGATCGATCGATCATTTGTTCGATTTTGATCGTTCATCCCGCCGGAGCTTCGCTGGCTTTTACGAACCTGCCCTTGACGCGCTTCCGCGTGTCAGCTCTTGCTTTTCTCGATTCGTAGCGTATGTGCTTGTCGTATCTGGGCAGAGGACGACGACGATCAGACAACAGGGAATATCGATTTTGTCGTAAATTTTACGGAACGGGACGAGAGCGACGAATGTACCTTCGGGTTTTCTTCTTTTCCTTGTAACGTTGCATCGCGTTGCCTCGATTCTTCGCCAGAATCTCCATCTCCACCTTCGTCATTCCGGCCGCAGCGCTATCGGTTTTTATTAGGATTGACTTGTCCGAAAATTGGAGGCTTTTCGAGCTGTTAAAACCCGAATCCGGCAGATTGTTGCTCTCGGATGTCGCCAGGCCCTGGCTTTGCGTCGGGTTGTTCGCGGGATTCTGCATAAAATCGATATTTCAGAATCGAGAGCCGAGATTATGATACCGACGCGATCGAACATTTGCGACATTCAATTATAATTGTTACGCTGAAAGGAATGACGTCGTCTTGCGGATTGAAACTGTCGACGCCTCGTCGCTTCGCCGACGACGCTTCTTGCAGCAGCTCGCCGTAGGTTTTCACGCTGTACATCGTTTCGTTTCCTGTGTAGTCGACGTTGCCCGGTTCGTCGTGGCCCATTAAACGCCCGAGATTGAAGTCCCATATCTGCAAAACAACATTATCGACATACATTCGATATAATGGCTTTCGAGCAAATTATGGATTGTATAACGAACTAGATATTCATGATCATCGAATCATCAATCAGAATCAATGTCAACGCCATTGCAGATAAGATTAAACAAGAAATTACTGATATGCAGGCTATGGATTGGGGGAAATGGAAGACGAAGAAGATGCAGATCAAGTGTTTGTAAAAATGTCGATAAGGAAATGTTGTTACCTGTGTCCCCTGCTGCTCACAATTGCCGCCGTTCCAATGAATGTTGTTACCTTTCTGATGCGATGTCGTTTGACTCATTAGCAGCGACGTGAATCCTCCGCCGTGCGCCGGCGCCGGCGCCGGCGCCGGCGGCGCTTCCTCGTTCGGAACCCCAAAATTCTCCGGCGCCTGCCTCCACGCGCCGCTGCTCGGCGTCCGTGGCTCCACATCCTCGCCGTCGCCTTCGGGATCTCCATCCGCCATTAAATCGAGCAATTGCTTCAGAATCACCTGCTTCTGCTTCCCGCAGCTAGGGTTTCTCATCTTCTTCATCAATTCGCCGCCGCAGTTGGAGTAAATCACAGAGCTGGAATTCGGAACCATCAGCTCTTCAATCAAGCCGTTCCACTCATACGACGTCGTTTTCTTCGTCTTCTCCTCCACAATTTCCAGCCCCCACGACGCCGCGAGCTCGACCGCCGTCGGACAGCCGGAGAACCCCTCGATAGGGCACCGATCGTGCGCCGCCGCGACGGAACAGCTCCCGTGCGCATCCCAATCGCACTCCTGGCAGAGCACCAGGCCGTCGGTGGCGCAACGCACCGACGCCGGCTCTCCGCCGCAGTTGTCGCAGATCTGAGACCGAACGTGCTTCTTCGACAGCGCGTTCGCCGCGTGCACGTGCTGGTCACATGACAGGCAGAGCTTAGCGCTGTCTGCTCTGCAGTACAGAATCGCCGGCCGTTCGCCGCAGAAATCGCATCCCGCCATAGCCAAAACTCTAAAAATCCCCAAATTGAAAAAAACACACCAGAAATCAAAATCACAAAACAAATCAAAAACTCCTCTCGATTGAAGAAATTACGGAGCGTAGATTAGCGATCGAAGCTCCCAATCATCGAAAATACCGAACAAGGAAATCAAACAAATCGACATGACCAGATCGTAGCAGAATCTTTGCATAAATGCAGATTTCACTTTCCAATTTGCTGTGGGTCACTCCAAACCCTCAGCCCATACATTAGCTTTCCCTAATTAAAATTGAAATTCAATTACAGTTTCGAGCGAGAACAAAAATGGCAGCAATGGCGATGGGGAGATGCGCTGATATTTATATATATATATATATATATATGTATTCATATATACAGAGTGGGCATAGACAGACAGGAAGTTACCAGAATTTTCGGAAGCTCCCAGGACCTCAGCACTACACAAATCTCTTCCATCGTTCAACACTAGGGACGGTGTGATTTGTCTGGTGTTGAAGTCCCGGATGTTACGAGAATCCAGACATCATCACTATGGAATTGTATATTGGACGGTGTACGGAGTGGACCAATAGTAAAAAATATCTATTCACCTTTTTGCTGCGCTGGCACTCGGCATCTCTTCATTTCAATTAATTTGAAAATTATTACTATAATACAAACAATTATATATTTCTTCCATTCACATATACATTTACTTTTGAGGCTGTATTTAAAAATAATAGTATTTTAATTACAGTGGATAGTTAAAAATAGTGTAATAATATTTTTGTCTTTAATTTTAGTGTAAAAGTAATGATGTTGTAAAGTAAGGGTATTTGAGAAAAAAGTTAAGTATTTAATGAAATGTTTACTCTGTAATTGGATATCTCAAAACATAAATATGTATACTTTCTAGCTGGACGGAGGAAATATTATATTTTAATTAATTAATTAATTAATAATAATAATTAATTATGAAATTTACAATATAATTAAATTATATAATTATATTTTTAAATAAATAAACAAATTATATAAGATAAATCAAAATAGAAATACTCCCTCCGTCTCTTAACAATCAATCTATTTTTCCATTGTCGTTCGTCTCATAACAAGCATCCATTTCATTTTTAGTAACTGTACTATCTATCTAACATTACAAATATCCTTTCAATTTACAATATATTACACAAATATCATTATATTTATATCATACAATACTAATAAAGGTAATTTAGTCTTTTTATCTTTACTTTTATAGCGTTCCAATATAATATTAATATTTTTAAAACTCCGTACAAAAAATAAATGGATATATAGATACAGAGAAAATACTAAACAAATTACATGGAAGATAATGTGTAATACTTCCTCCGTCCACAAACTAATGTCCTACTTTCCTATTTGAAACGTGCAACAACTATTGTCCTATTTCTTTTTTTAAACACAAATTTTACATTTTTACCATTCATTCATTTATTACTTTTAATCTCTACCATACACTTAAGGGCATATTTGTCCATTCATAACAAAAAGACAATCACCTAAAAAACCGTATAAATATATTTTATGACAATAGAAATTGGACGGAGAAAGTATTAAATAAGTGAAAATATGAGTTAGAGTGTATTTATTTAGTTTTTTAATATAAAAAATCTTAGCAATAATATAAATAACACTCATATTTTTTAATTTTTTTTTTATTTTATATAGAATTATTAATTTATTTATTTTTTGTTTTTTTGTATATATTTATAAATATAATTGAAAAGTTTTTTTTTTTTTTTTTTTTTATGAAGTGAAAATCTACTGTCGCTATTCGAAAGTGCGTATTGAACCTCTGATGGAACCTAATGCCCTGCAAACCAAATACGTAATAATTTTATTTTTTTTTTTGAAAAACTTGTTTTAAATTTATTGCAGGTGAAGTGGAATTTCAAATACTTAATAAAAATTAGAAAATTATTTAATTCAGAATAGTTAATCATTTCAATTGCATTTATTAAAATTTGTAAAATCAAAATTAAGACAATCTTTTAGCCTAGTACATAAAAGGACAACGTATTCATTATACACTATAAATTTTGTTATTTAATTTCATATGTACTTATATCTGTTTATTTATAAATTTTATTAAGATTATATACTCCTTTCATCCTATTGAAAAAATTATCATTTTTCATTTTTGTTCTTAAAAAAATAAATTTTTTAATTTAATAATTGTATTACCTACTTCACATAATAAATACATTTTCAATTTATAATATATTGCACAAATATCATTATTTTTATATTACACTATACTAATAGGGATATTTTTGTCCTTTTTACTATAATCCAATATAATATTAATATTAAAAAAATTATGTGCAGAAAATAAATACGCCACTCTTCCAACGGGACGGATGGATGGAGTATATTGAATCCTATTTTAATTAATTTCTTTTTTCTAATGTTTTCTTTTAATTTTTACTCGTCATTTTATTTTTTATTTTTACTTTTTTTAAAAAACATTTATTGGGTCTACTTGACTATTATTTCAATTTTGGTGGGCGCCCATGGTCACAGTTCTTTTCTCAAATATTTTTTAAATTTTCAACCGCTCGTGCCGTCTTAATACAATAGTTATGTTTATTATTTTTGTGTTTGTCTCATTTTCAACTGCTTCCTTCGTTCCAATACAATAATCATGTTTATCATTTTTGTTCGTCCCAAAATAATAGTCTTATTTCCATAAATAATAATATCACTATAAAACTATAATTATTTTTTTATTATTATTATACAATTGTCATTATTTTTTATACTAAGACACTCATAAAAGGCAAAAAATTCTTTTACCCGTACCTTTTACCCACTACCAATATAATATCAATATTCCTTAAATCTCATGTCAAACACAACCCAGACTATAATTGTGGGACGGAGGGAGTATGATTTTTTTTTTAAAATGTTTGTTTATTTTGTATTTTTTAGATAAATGTATTTTTTTTTATATTATATAGAAAAAATTACGTGGGTAATATAAATAATACTCCTTTGTATTATGCAATATTTCATTTTTGATATATCTCAAATGTTTTTTTTAATATTTTTAAAATAGAAAATAATTAATTATATTTAACATTTACTTCACACTTTATTTTATCGTATCATCCAAATAAAAAATAATTATATAATTTTATTTCTCATCTAATTTTTAAATTATTGTACTTAGAATCAAATGTTGCACCAAAATGAAGTAATATTTTTTTTTAAAAATAATATTTTTATAAAAAAATAATTTTCACAAAGAATATTAAATGAACAAGCTCATTTCTATTTTGTTCTTAATAAATAAATAAAAAATTATATTGAAATTTCAATCATGCTTTTAATATATATTTATATATACATGATTAATATCAAAAGTTTTGATCAGATTTTTATGAGAAAATATTTTATTTTATAAAATATCATATAAAATTATGTTACACAAATTCAAACTAAACAAACCAATGTGTAACAAATCATAAAAGTTCAATTTTGTCAATACCTATAAGGAAAATAATAATAATAATAATAATAATAATATATAAATAAAACTAACATTATTAATAATTAATATCAATAAATGCCCAACTTTCACCTTCACATTAAATGCCACCTTTTAATTATAGTATATGTTTTTAGATATTTTTAAATATTTGTAGTATTTTAAAATTCCAAACTTTAGTTTGACAATTTAAATGGATCCTCCCTTCTATAAATATAGTTTTAGTTAGTTAGATATTATATTGGTAGTTGATAAAAAATATGAATAAAAATTTTTTTTGTCTTTGTGAGTGTATTAGTGTAAAAAGTAATGACAATTTGTGCAATAAAAATGAAAAAATGAGTAATTTTATGGTGATATGGTTATTTATGGAAATAAAATTATTGTTTTGAAACGGACAAAAATAATAAATAAAACTATTGTATTAGGACGCAGAGAGTATATATATATATATATATATATATTCGATACTATCATTATTTGAATTTAAAAATATTTTAATAGAAACCCATTTTGAAATTAATAAAAAAATGGAGATGTGCTTTTGTATTTTTATTTCACTTTGATAATTAAATTTGATACTTTTCAAATGAAATAATTAACGTCATGTTTATATGATAAATAAATGTTAAATATAATATTTAATTTTTGGAAAGTACTACATAAAAAAGTGAGAGAAATAAAGAAAGAAAAAAGAAAAAAAAAAAGATTTGAATTAAAATTTATATCTCAAACATATATATAATTGTTAAATATATTATTTTTTAGGTGATAATTTATTACTATAAATAAGTAAAAAGATTGGACGTATTCTTTAGAATTTAATTTTGATTTTGATAAGTTTAGATACAACTTATGTAGAAGAAATATTATAATTATATAAAAATAATAATAATAATTGTATAAATTAAAACCAAAATACTCAATTTATATAAATATTTTTGGAGTTTTGACACAATTTGTCAATAATGGTATATTGATTTAGGGTTTTTAAATAGTATTTCCTCCGTTTCAAAACTATAATCTAGGTTGGGTAAAAAATATAGGTAAAAGATTTTTTTGTCTTTGTGAGTATATTATGTAAAAAGTAGTAGCAATTGTATAATAATAATTAAAAAAATAAGGGTAATTTTATAGTGATATGGTTACTTATGGAAATAATACTATTGTTTTGAGACGGACAAAAATGATAAATAAAACTATTGTATTGAGACGGAAGAATATTAAAATAATATATACATATATTTTATTTACTCACAAAATTAATTATTTAATATAAAATATTATTTCTTATATTGCCAGCATAAATTTTTATATCTAACGTAAAAAAAAAATATCAATCTAAAACTATAAAATAAACAAACCTAATTTTTTTGTTTTTTTAAAAAAATATAATATCATATACTTATTATATATATATATACATATAATATGACATTAAATATTTAAAAATTTACTATTTTAATTTTCCTTTTTTCAAAATTTAAATAATATCTATGTCAAACTTTCCATCTTTATCACTTATGTATATATCCACATCTAAAATCATATTGCTTCATTGTGTATGTATATATATATATATATATATACATTAAAAATAATTGATTTTGTGGATAAGTATAAGATTCATTATCTGTATTAAATAATGCTTAATTTTGTCTACATCTACAGATATTATAGATTTGTTTACTTGAAATTTGATTTTATATTTTAATTTAAATAAATACTAAAATACAATATTTTTTAGATAAAATTATATATAGTTAAAATTTTATAGGTAGGGTGTATTTATTTGGGGATTTTTCTTAAAAATATACTCCCTTCTTCCGTCTCATATCTATAATCTGGGTTGTATTTGACATGAAATTTAAGAAATTTTGATATTATAATATTAGTGGGTAAAAAATACGGATAAAAACTTTTTTACTCTTGTGAGTGTATTAGTGTAAAAAATAATGACAATTGTGTAATAATAATGAAAATATAAGGGTAGTTTTACAGTGATATGATTATTTATGGAAATGAGACTATTATTTTGGGACGGACAAAAATGGTAAACAAGACTATTGTATTGAGACGGAGGGAGTATTATTCATCATTTTTTTTCAAAAGCATCAAATCAAACATTTATTTTTTATTTTTTATATTATACTAAATATTAATTTTACAGTAAAAACATCACATTAATAGCTATTTATATAATATTATATAACTATTCTAATTCAAAATTTTTACAATTAAATCTCAACTCAAAATTCAAAGTTCCAACCAAATGCACCCTTAGTGTACTAATTGAGAATAATCAATACCAAAATATAACATGTAGCATGTAAAAAGTCCAAAGACAACACATGTTTTATATATTGTTAATATGTGTTGTTTTATTTTATTTTTATATATTTTTAAATAAAAATAAAAATTATCTACGAATACGTCAGGTGGTGCTGACATGGCATATACGTGTCATCCGGCATATTAATGACTAAATGTGCAAAAAAATTTCACTTACAAGATTATTTTAAAATAACTTTCAGTTATGAAACGAAAATAATAAAAGAGTACAGTTATTGAAAAAAAAAATTACCTTATAAAAACTATGTACCATCATGGTAGTTATCTTATTTAAGAATTTCGTAGGATTCTTGTCTTATTTAGACGATTTATATATCACTGTAAATATGTATGTATTCTTATGATTGAAATAGAGAATTCCAGTATTATATTTTTAACATGGTATCAAAGTCAAATTATCTTCGGGTACCTCCATGACCCGTTATATTCCGTATATATTTTTATATTTTATTAATATATTTGGTTCTATCCACGATGATGCTGTTATTTTCATGTTGTCTCCGTCTCTACTACTCCACTGACAGAGTCTACTTTCAACTCTAACACCGTTGAGAGTCTTGTTTTCGACTCTAACTCTATTGAGAGCGAGGGAATCCTGTTTCCGACTCTAGCTTTGTTGTGAGCGAGCGAGTCCTGTTTCCGACTCTAGCTCAATAGAGTGAGCGAGTCCTGTTTTCGGCTCTAGTTCCTTTGTGAGCGAGCTAGTCCTGTTTTCAACTTTAACGGTGTTGAGAGTTCTGATTCTGACTTTGATCTAGTGGACGACTACATCACTTTCCGTCACTCTTGGCGAAGTCAAATTCGTACGTGGAAGATCTCGGCTATATTTTTTTCGGTCACTTTTGACAAACTCAAGTTTGTTCCATCGTATCTTGAGTTTGAAGAGGGGTGTTAAAATATATTTAGAAATAATATATTATATTTATGGTAGTGTTATCTTATTTAAGAGATTCGTAGGATTCTTGTCTTATTTAGACGATTTATATATTATTATAAATATGTACGTATTCTTATTATTGAAATATAAAATTTCAGTATCATATTCTAACATAAATACTACATTCGTCCGACTCTAAGAGTTCAGTTACTTTTTGCATGTTGATATTTGAATATTAATTATTATATCAGAATATAGTACAAATTAAGAAAAATTGCAAAAATACTTTCATTAGTGTCTTATAATATTAATAGAAGAACATTTGGATAAAAAATTATATAAATATAATAGTAATACTTTTAATGTTAAGTACAATAATACAAAAAATAAATATAACCATTAGAAATTAAAAAAAAAAAAGAAAAAGTATTATCTAAAAATGACTAATAATATCACTTATATAAAAAATAATAATACTACTCCATCTTTCATTAAAAATATTTGCTCTCTTTTCATTTTTATCTTCATAAAAAATTATTCATTTTTTGTTTTAAGTAAAACATTATTATACTTTTATACTCACTAGGTTTCATAACGAAATATTTATTTTTTCATTTTAGTCCGTCCCATAACAAAGTATCAATTTCATTTTTTAGTAACTGTATTATCTACCTAACATTACAAATACCTTTACAACTTACAATATATTACACAAATGTCATTACATTTATATCACACATATTAATGAGGTTACTTTAGTCATTTCTACTTTATTCTTACTATATTCTAATATAATACTAATATTTCTAAAACTACGTGAAAAAACAAATAGATATTTAATTTCGGGACGCAGGGAGTATTGTTTTTACTATAAAAAAATTATTACTAATTTTTATTAAAATTTGTGTCCGACCAAATAAATATACATTTACGTGAGGAAATCTATTATTATTAATTAATTAAATATTTTTTTAATATGGTATCTCAAAAATATCATTTAAAATGATTTAAAATGAAATGTAGAGAGAAATACAATGACACCTAGGGTGTGTTTGTTTGAGGGATTGGATTTTTCTTTTACTATTCATCCAATTTTTTCCCCCCAAAAACATCAAATCAAACATCTATTTTTTATTTTTTATATTATACTAAAAATCAATTTTACATTCGAAACATCACATCAACACCTATTTATATCATATCATACAACTATTCAAATTCAAAATTTTTACTATTCAAATCCCAACTCAAAATCCAAACCTCCAAACAAACACCTCCTAAATATGTCACGTGGAAGGTAAGATGGACGGCATCATATATTTATATATATTTTTATATATATTCATTTATTTATTTGTTTTTGGCTCTTTGTGTGCAAAAGCTTTGCGGCTCGGCTGCCGAGGTCGGCTCGGCTTTCGTCACGCCTGACATATTATTTTCATGTACTTTTTGGTAATTTCACACTTATGTACTTTTTAGTAATTTCACTATCTTCTGGGTCAACGCTCTAACGAAATAAAATTTGTGGGCTGGTCTGGTGAAGCTTTTAGAGGCCCAATAAACCTTAATTTGTTACCACTAAAATTTTGAGAAAGTTCAAAATAAACAATGGAGTATATTTATTTTGTCAATTTTAATGGGTACAAAATCAATGTATTTATTTATTTTTTAAATAATTATAATTTTCATAAATATTAAAAAAAAAACTATTACCATTTTTTTTATTACAACAATATTCCTCAATATAATTTAATTAAATTACAAAATATTCTTTTGTAAAATTGTACATTCATCTCTATTATATTACATCTATATATATAATATTAATATTTCAAAATTTATGTAAAAATATTAAATAAAAGCATTGATACAACCTCTATTTATGTAAAAAGTATAATATACTCCATACCTCTCGGTCCAATATACCTATTTGTTTTTTAAATTATATTAAAAAATAATAATATTTTATTAATTAATAAAAATGTATAAAATTGTTTTGATTTTTGTCTTGAAAACTACAAATAAAATGAATATTTTTGTAAAATTAGAGATATTTTGATAATCAAATATCATTAGGTCAAAGAATATTCCATACAATATTTTATTTTATATAATTTTTAAAATTTATAAATAACACCAAACATTAAACTATTTATATATTTATTTTATAAAAACTCTATACTATTATTTTAAATTTTTACAAATAAATTAAATTAATTATTATATTTTAAAATTAACAAATTAAAATTTTAGTATTATTAAACAATACTTATACAAAATATATATAAAAAAAATACTCCGATAGCATTATTTGATTAAACATGTACTCCAAAATTAATCTCCAATTTAAAAATATCAATTACAAAATGAAAATATAAATACATAAAATAAACTATCTTAGAAATAATAAACAAATTTTCAAAACAACAAACAAATAAAATAAAATACATTTTTCTTTTTATAATATTATATTCCCTCCGTCCCACGTACTGCTACACCGTAGACACGGTATTTTAGGAGAGGTATAATTAGTAGATAATAAAAAATGTATTAGTGAGAATAATTATTCTATAATCTAGATAATTATAAATTAAAATTAAGATAACTAATTAGTTTATTTAAAATTTAAAAAAAAAAATTAAAAAGTTTAAAATAAGATTAAAGTGCGTAATCATTTAAAAAAAAAAAAAGTGACATGAACGTGGGACAAATAGAAACGATATGAACATAGTATGTGGGACAGAGGAAATATTAAATTATAAGAGTATTGTTTATTTAACTGAAAATTACAGTTATTAAAAAAAAACAAAAGAAAAGAACTCATTAAAAATATACAAACTAAAATGACAAAATAAATACATTAAGAACAAACAAAAAACTAACATAAATACGCTAAAGTTCTTCTACCGAAGGGATTGAACGATCGATGAAGTTAAAAATTCGAATATCCTTATAGTTTTTAAACAAATTAATGGTAAAAAATGTATCGAAATGTATTCAACCAACATAAAAATATCGGATTCATAAGAATTATTTGAATCCAACCCAACTAACTATCCATATAGTCAGCAATATAACCGACACATGCGACAAGAACAAGGGGGGCCTCGAGTCCCCCGAGCCCCCATATAATTCCCGTCACTGATCATGCAACAATAAAACAAGCTCGACAACGCCGACTTTATTATTTTCCAATTCGCCCCCCGAAAGTTTATATTATAATTTTCAAAATTTCATGAAACGAGTTTGATATAACTTTCAAATTTTCAACACCAATGTATATCTACAACGATAACATCGTCTCCTAACCAACATATGTTCACAAACGTACGATATATATATATATATATAATATTCAATAGTTTGTAATAAATCGCGCATAAGGAATTGCAGAGAGACGAATAATTGACCTTAAGCTGGCAAAGCGAAGCTCGGCTGTGTCCAGTTCGGAACATCCATGGCTGCGCACATATCGGATTTCTCAAAATCAGCTACCTGAGAACAGAGGAAATTACACATTTTTAGTGAGGATTTGGTAGATGAATAAAAATTTTGAATTTAAATAGGAATGCGACCTTCTGGTTGCAGTGCGGACAGTAATGATATTTGTGCCATAGACAGTCGAAACTGCGGCACAGACAGCATACGCCAAGACACATTGGCATCATACAACCAACGACTGCAGCTAAACTTAGCTTCGACCTAAATCACATACAAAAAAAAACAAGAAATTAAGGGCGTGTTCGTAGATTTTGCAAAAAATCTACTATTCATCAAAAAAATTTTCCCCAAAAACATCGAATCAAAAACCTAATTTTCATTTTCCATATTATACTAAAAATCAATTTTACAGTTAAAACATCGCATCAAAACCTATTTACATCACGTTATACAACTTTTTCAATTAAAAATTTTTACTATTCAAATCCCAATTCAAAATCCAAACCCCAAACAAACACACCATAACAATACGATGTTATGTAGCTTCCCAAATCGAAATTTTATCATCCATTATCCGTAAATCTGTTCGACATTACAGAATGAAGAACACTTTATCATGCATCATACGAAAATATCGAAGCTACGATAATTTATCACTGAGAACTTATTTTCGACAATTAAACCATTAGATAAATCTCCGGAAGCTCCATTAAACATTAGACATGGAAACTAGAAGAGGCACACACAACATATATAACTAGCTTTTGTAAAACCAATTTATCATACAAATTCAAGCTTTTGATATTTCGAATCATGGAGTTTTTAACATGAATTGTATACATATTAATGGTTCAATCAACAAGAACACAATACAGATTGAAGAAAACAAGGAAAGGTTCGACCAATCGGGAGGAAATTCTTAACCATTTGTCATGAACATAGCTAAAAACTAATATGGAAATACCAGAAATTCTTAACGATTCCTGCTTGATTTAGACAAATTTATCCCCAATTGAAGAACTACAAACTCCAATTTTGCATAACGCAGAAACACAGAAACCCTAACTGAATTGCAATTGAGGCGAATCGATCTCAGATTATGATTTATGAACCAATTACAGTAAATCTTCAACGATTTCACCATCAATTACAATCTATTCCAGTCCGAATCAAACAAGTTCATCGATTAACAGAACGCCTCACTAATTAACAAACAAAAAAGGGGGAGAGAATTACTTGACGGTGGTGAGACCGGAGTCGCCGCAGTAAACACAGTTGAAGGGGGCGGGGGTATCGCGGTACATGGTCTGGTGGATAGGAATTCCCTTGGGATCGCCATAGATGGCGTTGGGAGGGATCATACCAGCTTGATGAGGGTGCGGATGCACATAGTACTGCTGATGCGGCGGCGGCGGCGGCGGCGCTTGGTACGCCGCGGCGGCGGCGCTGTAGGGGATTCCGATCACCGGCTCGTCGTCGGCCCGGCGCGTTTGCTCCATCGCAATCGAAATTCTTCCAAAGGGACGAAAAACGGAATTCCTTCACCTCGACGGAAATTTCAATCCTTCCTTGAGTTTTTGGAAATGGAATTGGAAATGTCGAATTTTTATATTCAATTATTTATTTATTGGTAAGAAAAATAGGCAATTAATTTACGCGAAATATTCACGCGGCGACGCTTCTGGAAGCTGTTTGTCTATGACTAAACCCACGTGAAATTTTGCCTTCGAAGATACTTTCTACGTCCTGCATATAACTTTACTAACATGGTAGAGACTATAATAATTATAAACTTAAAAAAATCAAAATAAATAATTAATATTAAACAAATTTAAAATTAAATAATTTAAAATGTGTTATTATTATTTTTATTTAAAAAAATGATATGAGAAGTAAGAAATTCAAAACTGACAATATGAACACAATATGTGAGATGAAAATAGTATATGAGATACTCTCCTTAATTTATTAGATCACTTATTTAACTAAAATAAATAAATTTAAGATAAGGGTGTAGATTGATTTAATCTTATGCTAAATTATTTATCATATAAAAATATGTTTTATGAGATAATTTGAATGAATATTTTGTAACGTGAAATATAAAGAATTGTGTGAAAGAATATAAAAATAATGAATATATTTGATATATTAATATTTTTGAAAAAATACGTGAGCATTTTTTTTTTAACACACCTTTTATCGAAAAAAAAAAGGATTAATGTTTTAAAATAAATATATATTTTAATAAATTATTGAGATAACTAGTTAAATCTACAATCAATTCAATTAAGCCCATCTAATCTAAATTCATTTGTGACATTATGCCTACAAGTGAAGTATAATCTTATAGAATCATTTTTGTTCTAGTATGTTAGAAAGTTTGATATAGGGAAGTTGTTAGTGATTCTTATTTGTTAGTAATCATGCATTTTCTCTTTGATTTATAATAATATTTGATATTATCATATAACTACTATTAGCTTCGAATGTGCTACGTGTTGGAAAATACGAGGTGATAATAGAATAATCAAGAGAAAAAAAAAAAAGTAGAGTTGAGATTATTATTATTACTTTTTTCCACATAGCAAAATATAGTCGGTAGTATTCTGGTGTGTACCCGTATCAATCCCAAAGATAAAAAAATGTATATCATACTCGAAGTAGGTATTGAAAGGTCTAGCAAATAAAATGAGAGTAAAATAATCAACAGAGAGAATGAGACGGTGATTTTAAATTTTTTAGAGAAACTTCAAATTCAGGTTTAAAGAGTTAGACCTATGTATATATTTTTCTACTAAATAGATTGATTTTTATTTTTTTTTGATACGATTTTGAAAAATAAGTTAATAATTGTAACATGAAACATATCATATTTAAGAATCCAGACAAAGAAAATATACCACAAATTTGATTTGATAGGAAAACACAACACTTATAAGACACGTCTTCTATTATTCCTTGAGTTGAGAAGAGTCAGCAACGAGTATTGATTCTCTTATCAGTAGTCTAGGCTAAGTGTTAAGCTTTTAATGACTCCTTATCGATCATCGGTCGAGTATGAAAAAATACTCATAGGAGGTCACTTACACAAGTGCGAAATGGAACCCATTTCAAGTGAAGCACTTGTTAGACAAATATGTTCCCCATTGCCTGAATGAAAATAAACGTGAGAATATGCGAGAAGTGACGTGTTATTGTTTCGATAATGTTGGATCCATGTAAGCCGTGACAAAATAGTTCAAGAGAAAGTTCATTAACCTACCTATATACCCAATGGTATTGAAAATGGAAAAGTTTAGAGCCAGAAGCTACATTGCTCTATGCAAAAACATTTCTTTGTTTTAGAAATCAAATATTGAACAAATCTTTAGTTTATTTTTAAAATTGAATTTCAATAAAGAGAAATATACAAAATGATTGGCAAAATATAATTATTCATATCATATTATTTAATAATATGCCGAATTGAACCAATAAATCCCTAACTAAAAATAGGTATTTACATTTATTATTTCATGCCTCACATTGCACAAGATTTCTCTTTAGTAGCTGAATTCTACGCTATTGTATAATCTATCTCGTTACTAAAATTGACGCTTAGGTATTTTTCATGCAACGTGTCATGATTATAAATCTACGACTTAATATCGATATTTATTATTTCATGACTTATATTAATTGCATATAAATTATAATTAATCATTAATAATCGAATCATGTCCTACCATATAAATTGTATTGCTAACAAAATTGACTTAAGGTTAAAATTATCTTCAGCCGACTAAAAAAATAAAATAATTCTTCAAATTTAGAATAAAATAAGGTTAACCGACTCTACTTCTCTCCATTTTTGGAAGAATCTACCGTTATGAATAAACCGTTGTTCCACCGTTATGAATAAATCGTCAGCAGAATAACGGTTTATTTCTAACGGTAGATTCCCCAAAAAATGTGGCACGCTGGAGGTTGCGTATCCGGCAAATAGTCCAATCTTGATTTTATTAGTTGTAGGACCATTCGTATGCAAGATTCAATTGTTCCCTTAATTCATGAATCATATTACGTCAAATCACTCATAAGTAGTCGAAGCATTTTTTGCTAATAAAATCAACCTAAGTTTAAGTACTCAATGTTTGTCACGTAGCGAAAATAAACTCACAACTTAAATTGATATTTACACTTATTACTTATGACTTGTTAATATTACGTAGAGAATTTCATTAATAATCAAATATATGCTTTTACATGAATTTTTAATCTATAAAATCGACATTTCAATATGTAAGATTTGCATGCAATGTTTTACTACGACGAATCCATATCTTAAAATTGATATTTACACTTATTACTTACGACTTATTAATATTGTGTAGAGAATTTCATTAATAATCGAATCTATGTTTTTACATGAATTTTTCGTCAATAAAATCGACATTCCAGTCTGTAAGATTTGCATGCAGTATTTTACGACGATGAATCTATATCTTAAAATCGATATTTACACTTATTATTTATATCGAATTAATATTACATAGAAAATTTTATTAATAATCGAATCTATACTTTAATATAAATTTTACCGTCAATAAAAACGACATTAAAGTACGTAAGATTTGCATGCAATGTTTTACGACGATGAATCCATATCTTAAAATCGATATTTATATTTATTAATTTTCGCCTAAATATTGAATTTTTTTAATTTGCCATGAATTCTAGAATATCCTCAACAAATTTTATATGAAAAACAATAAATATAGCACCAAAAATTATGAAACCATTTTCTAATATCAAATTGTGGAAAAAAATAATAATCAAAAAGCAAAACCCCTGAACACACTAAAAGCTCCGGGATCTGAACTCCCATGGCAAAGCGCTCGGCTGCAAGGCGGGTGGTGCTCGTACTCCCGGGACCTCAGAAAGCCAGGCCTGAAACGGTGTTGTCCATTTTGGTGTCCTACCTCTACCTGGTTTTGATTCTTTTCAACACTATTCTCAGATACATTCCTAATTATACTAATTTATTAAATATTAAAATATTATATATATATATATATGTGAGATTATAGTGTAAAATATTTGTCCCATAAATCCACAGTTTCCAACCCATTTGGTTTTATTCTGCACTTTCTCTTAAAATTTATTTTTATTTATTTATTTATTTTTCAGAATTTCCCCTTCTCCCTCGTTTGGGTGATTTTTTTTTGAACATTGATTTACCCTATAAGGGTTGGTTGATTTTTGGGCAGGAGGCGCTGGGGAAGATGGCGGCACCAAACATGGCGTTAATCGCTGCCTCCTTGGAGAGATCCTTCCAGAATTTTTCGTTGAACAGCGGCGGTGGAGGGAGTAGCAGTAGCAGCAGCGGTGGCGGAGGCGGTGACGGTGGTGGAGGCGGTGGCGGTGGTGGAGGTGGAGGTGGAGGCGGAGTGGAGGATTCGCCGGTGAGTTTGTCGCCGGAGGTTGCGGCGATTACGTTGGAACTGAATTCTGACAGAGCGTTGCCGTTTCATTGGGAGCAATGCCTCGATTTGAAGGTAATAGGCGTGGGAATGGAGAGAGAGAGGAAGGAGATGTTGGTTTATATAGGTTTTGTATGGTTTTTTTGGGAATTTGGTTTCGTTTTGTTCATTTAATGCTGCTGCTGCTTCCGAAATCCTAACAGATCTCTTCAGTTAATTCGATTTTGAGGTCGCGTTCATCGCTCATTTATTGCGTTTTTCCTTTTCTGGCATTGATTCGGTGATTGCGGTCGCAGACGGGGGAGATATACTACATAAACTGGAGGACGGGGATGAAGGCTACGGAGGATCCCCGGACGGCGGCGTACTACTCGGAGGAGGAGTACGACAGCAGCGCCTACGGCAGCGACGACGGCGCCGACGACGAATCGTCGTCGGAATCGTCTCCGTCTTCGTCGCGCGAGCAATGGAGCGGTAACAATAACGATCCCCAACTTTTACATCATAACGCAGAAACCAATGAAATTGCTAGCAGAAACAGCAACAGCGATGATGCTTCGAAGAACGTGCTGGTTGTGGCGGGATGCAAGAGCTGTTTGATGTACTACATGGTGCCCAAACAGCTCAGCATTTGCCCCAAATGCTGCGGTCATCTCCTGCACTTTGATGCTGGCTCCTCCTCCTCCTCATCGTCTTCTTCATGAATCCTTTAATTTTTTTTTTTTTTTTTTCTTTACCTGCTAAAAGAAATTGAATAATTATTCTGGGAATTAATTTGAACTTGTCGAAACTTTAATTCTTTAGCAAGCATAACGGACCACATCTCTGTTCTTGCTAGTGTTTTTTTTTAGCTTTGGGTTGTTTGATGCTTACTGTTTGTGGCCCTAGGAGTATCAATATATCATGATTCTTGTTGCTGTGATTCTTGATCAATGTTTCTGTAATTTTATGCTTGTATATCCTTCATCTTTGGTTTCTTGAGCCTTGGATCATATTAACTGCATGTATTATGATTCAATCAGAAGTTTCCATGGTTGATTTGTTCTGGGAATTGTCTGTTTGATAGAGAAGCTTGGGTCAACCCTAAGGGCCTTTTTTTTTTTTTTTTTTTATTTAGAATCTGGTGCAATAACGCAGATTTGATGGGTAAATTATTAGAATTTCTGAATGAAAGTTTGGCCCTTAAGTAAGAATTCTTGGAAGTTTTCCAAAGGGCTTCTCATTGTCTGTTACATAGCTGGAAATGATATGACTGACTTGCAGGTTTGATTATGGTTTAATTTTGTATTGAATCCTAATCATGGGATGGATTAAATTGTCACTATTAGTAATTTTTATGATACATGATTAGAAGTAAGATGTAATTCTATATTTGTGTTAGGGTTGTGGGTAGAGGACAAGATTATATATATCTGTATTCATATATCATTCTTAGGTTTTGTTTTAAGCTATGAGCAAGAAAATGTGATAGTTAAGTAGGACAAACACTACATGATTGATCATATTAGATAGTTATAAGTTAATTTAATGATTTGCAAATAGTCCAACCCATAGGAAAAGCTATAGTCCAGATTCTAGTTAAAAAGCTAAGACTGTATAGATAGAGAGAGAGAGAAGAAGAAGAAGAATAATGGTCCACAGAAGGTGGTGGGGGTGGGGGTGGGGGTAGGGGTGGGGCTGATAATTGAGAAAGAAATATGAGAAGAAGATAGCTGGACTGTGATGAAGAAAACAAAGGGAGCTTTTGCATGACATTGCAATGGCAGAAAGAAAAAAGGAATCTTTGTGCAGAGAAAAGGCCCTCTGATCATATGGACAGACAGAGCTGATGAGCTACCATTACACCACACCACACCTAGCTCCAAACAGGGACACATGACATGGACCTTTCTCTATCTAACCCAAGGTACACACCCCACTCCTCTCTCTCTCTCTCTCTCTCTCTCTAACTAGACCCGGCCCCCTATATATATATATGTATCTCATCCATTTCTTTTAATTTTTTGTGAGAAAAATCTTGATCTGGGGTTTCTTCTTTGTATATTAATCTTGTCTGTGCATTTTTTACTTGGAGACATGTATGGATACTGTACATACTTAGGTTATGGTCAGATGGGGTGTCCCCACTCCACCCCACCCCACCCCACTCCCCTACCTATAGATAGATTCCTTCTTGTTTCTTACAGTTACATACAGTGCTTTGTTTGGGGTGACCCTTCAATGGGGTTTGAGGGACAGGGAATTCATGCATGCATTTAATTCCTCTTGGTGGGGAATATATACATATATATATATATGTATGTGTATGTATATATATTGTGTATATTTGTTTCTCTCTCTTTCTTTATGGGAATTGATTGCTTACAAGATGTACAGAGAGATTCTCCCTGATCTGTCTTGTTGCTTTATCCATTCCTCTTGTTTTCATCTCCCACTTTGCATCTTTTTAACTACACCCAATTACCTACCTATCTGCCTTCACCCCTTTCTATACATACACACATCTGTATCTATATATTGTATATATCGTTTGTTGGTTCCTTTGGTCGTTTAGTTTAGTGAATTTTTGTACATACATAATGTGTATATATGTATATATATTGTTGCATGATCTAATAAACATTCATTTCTCAGTGAATTGCGACGGCGGCGGGGACGGGGACGGCGACAGTGGTATTACGGGATGATCGAACGCTGTCGGCGACGTGATAATAAGCCTTGTCGAAATTCACGAACCCCATGAACCAGAACTCGTGCGCATCCACGGTTACAACGCGGATGTACTTCTCCGGCCGGGTACTCTCCCGTCTCGACGTCACGGTCGCGATGCTTCCGAAAGGTATCGACACCTGCATACATGCACGCACGATTAATTAATTTCGTCGTGGTTCGTTGTCGAGTATCGAACCCGGTCGTTTAATAAACCGCGTTACCTTGTAATAACTCCAGGCTGTCTCCGTCAGGAACGGCACGGGACGGTCGCTGCAGAAAGCGACGCGGGCGGTCGACACGTACAGAGTTCCGGGAACGGGGCCGGCAACGGTCGAAATGTAGCAGGCGAAGGTCTTCTTCAATTTCTCGCGGGTCGGATCCGACGTCGGGAAATTCTGCCGGAATAGCGACTCGAACCCGCCTTCCGTCATCGCCTTCGTCGCGAGATTGACCTTCCCCCACGCCGCGGAGGACACCGACGTCCCCGACGTCACTGCACATCGAAAAAATCGAGTCTTTAGCATTACGAACCGACAGTACATTGACTAATAAAAAACGGCGTTACGAGCTCACGGTTGTGCCATATGTTGCGGCCGAGTCCTTCGGCCCTCCGACTCCACGAGTCGAGAAAATCGACAACGTAATCGCAGGGGTTTCCGGTAGGCTTTTGGAGAGGGGTGTAGATGAGATACGGCTGGTGTCTCTGATGAGGCGCCGCCGCCGCCACTCTGCCGCCGTCGATTGAGGTCGCCATGGCCAACCTTTGCGAGGATCATATTTAAGAAAATGTGAAATGATATATATATGTAGATATATGTGTGTATGTATATATGTATGTATAGGTTGGTGTGAAGGGAATGGGATGCTTAATGGATGGAATTGGACATGGAAGAATTGAAAAATATCGACCACATTCGAATTGATGTTGTAAGGAATCGTTATCTCGTGAATAATTCCATTGTTGTCCCTTTTTATTTATTTATTTTATTTTACTTTTTATGACCCGCCATCTTATTGTTTTCGGTAAATTCCTGATCAAAAATTTGAATTTATAATTTTACGGTCACAAATTTATTTTTATATTACCGGTCATACTATCCCAATATAATGTGTATTTTTAAAATATATTGTATAAATTATTGTTATATATATATATTATATTATATTTGTATTATGTTAATATATATTTTAAAAATATTACAAAATAACTTTGGTTTGGATATTTTAAAACCGTTTTATTTTAATATAATATAACAAATAATATGTTAAAAAGTATATTATATTTTGTTGATAATATGTTATGTTCTCTCAATTTTTCATTTAGGAAAAGCTTTAATATTTTTAGTATCTAATATAACATTATCGTCAAAATAATTTGAATTTAACTTAATAAGATAGAGTAGTTTACTATTGTCAAAATTAGCTAAATAATTTAATTATTTCAATAAGTATATTTTTAATAATATATTTACAATATAAATAATATTTTATAAAGAATAAAATTTTATATAATATAAATAAATAAATAATACTCCCTCCGTCCCTTAATAATCTATCTATTTTTCCATTTTGGTCCGTCACATAACAAAGTATCCGTTTCCCTTTTTTATAATTGTATTATCTATCTAACATTACAAATACCCTTCTAATTTACAATATATTACACAAATGCCATTACATTTATATCATACAATACTAACAGGGTTAATTTAGTCTTTTTTTACCTTTATTTTTACTTTATCCAAATATAATATTAATATTCATAAAATCCCGTCCATAAACAAAATGAATAGATAGATTGGGGACGGAGGGAGTATAAATATATATTTATGATTAACATAAATATTTTTCAAATAAATGAAAAGTTTTAAATGAATATAAAAATATTTGTTCATTGAAAAGAGATAACAAAAAGAATGAATTTGTTTATATGTGTTTTTGGATGAATATATTTTTTTAATTAGGTATAAAAAATTATATTGATAATATAAATAAAACAATATATTGATTTGAATTGTTGACGTTTTTTTTATAAGTAAAGTACATATATTGTGTTAATATGTGTATATTATACTCCCGCAATTCCATATTTATTTATCCGTTTATTTTTTCTACGGAGTTTTAGAAATATTAATATTATATTGGAATGTAGTAGAAATAAATGTAAAAAGACTAAACTAACTTTATTAGTATTGTATGATATAAATGTGATAATATTTGTGTAATATATTATTAATTGAAAGAGTATTTGTAATGTTAGGTAGATAATACCGTTACTAAAAAAAAATGATATTTTGTTATGAGACGAACCAAAATAAAAAAATAAATAGATGGTTAAAGAACAGAGAAAGTATTTTTTATTACATATTTATGAAAAATCATTAAAAATACTAAATAAACAAACTCAATAGATTTTAAGTGAATTCTATATAATAAGATATTTTTAAAAAAGAAATTAGGAACATATTGTCAATTGAGGCTCAGATGCTATGTCATATATATATATATATATAAATATAAATATTTATTGATCTGATCTCTTAAATATTATTATTATTATAAAAATAATAGTTAAGAGATATTGTCAATTGGGCTAAAATGCTCTGTTATTATAAAAATTTATTATTATTATTATTATTATTATTATTATTATTATTATTATTTTTTATTTTTTTTTATTTTTTCTTTTTTATAAAGAATCACATTCTATTATTATTCTAGAATTATCATATTACTATTTTAATTGGATAAGAGGCAACACAAATAAGAACTTTTATGCCAAAAGGAAACCAACATCATAGAGATTCAAAACAATCAAGAAAATAAAATCAGTCAATATTATTTTGTTGAATTTACTCAACGTCGAAAACCATATAATTACACTTCCCACTGGTATTTCTTCACTAAGTTCTGCGGAGGATATTTATCGGAAAAGTAAATTCCATCACTTTGTGCGGCCCAATAACATTGTTTATTTAGGCAAATCGGGACTTTCCATCGTGCACTGAAAACCTCGAATCCTTTGCTCTTAGCGCCCCAAGTTAAGCGACAAAAGAACAATGTGCTATACGTTTGGCAAAACGAAAAATGAAAATCTTGGTTTACTGTGAGATTATGATAGCCGAGATCATTATCTCCCGATGCGCAATGAACTAACATTACTGAGTTTGGTGGCAAATTGTTGACGACGTGAACTTGGTATTTTTCAGTAAATATGCACTTTGCAGCCGTTGTTACATCAAACAAAGAATGTAAGAAGATTACAAGAAATAATATGAAGTAGTTCGGAAAATAACTTGCCATTTTTTTTGGGTGTTTCGAAAAATTAATTATTTCTGATTTTGAGTTTGTTTCGATTCCATGGGCATATATATATATATATATATATATATGTAAGAATAAAAAATAAGATTATATGAGTATGTTATTATTGTAAGAAACTTTAGGCAATTTATTATTGTAAGAAACTTTAGGCAATCTAAAGTAGGGCTTACATTGCAAATATCAACAATATATAATAGAAATAGTTTTGAATATAATAATAATAATAATAATAATAATCTTATTGTGAAAGAATGAAATAATTGCTTTGGAGTATGGAATAATATTTTATCATTATGCAATTCAAATTATTGTAATAAATTATATATATTAACACAATAATATATATATTTTATTTATTCAAAAAATTAATATAAAATATTATTTTTTATATTATCAATACATTTTTTTAATTAACATAGAAAATAAATTTATTTAAAAATACTAAACAAACAAATTTTTTATTTTTTTTATTTTATAATAAAATTTAGATAGTAAGGCCAATACAGTGCAAATTGAAGAATTTTTCGTCCTTTATTTTATATTAATAAATTTATTATTTATATTATTAAAATAATTTAAATTTATTTTTTTATCTTATAAATGAATTATAAAATAAATAATACTTCTTCCCTTGTATTTTTTTTTTTGCATAAAGTTTAAAAATAAAATATTTTAATTATAGTAAATTGTTAGGCCATTTCCAACTCATCTTCTCCATTTATCAAGTTTTAATTCCAAATATGCAGTTGCTACAGTAATTTAACTCTAATCATAACTTCATTTTTCACTATTATTATTCAAATATTCAATTTTTCTATTATTTTAAACAACTTTTTATTTTTATAATTTAAAATTAAATTTTTAAAAATTTTTAAAAACAAAAATTAAATTTAAAATTTTAAAAATTGAAAAAAATTAAAAAAAAAAAAGTAAAACAACAGTGCAACACCAATTTTTTTGGCGTTGGATGAAGACAACCCACGCCAAAAAAACCAATCCAGAGCCATTAAAATGGCACTGGGTTGGAGATGCACTTAGTGTAGAGATAATTTTATCCTTATCTTTTTGGTGTAAAAATAACAATGAGATAGACAAAATAGAAATATTTGTAAATAAAATTAAATATTTTTAAAATAGTTACTTTTAAATTTAATTGGACAACCAAAAATAAAAAATATATATTTTGTAAATTGACAGATGAAATATTAATTACAAAAATAAATATTGCTCACTCTTCAAGATAGAGAAGACACATTAAAAATGTTTGGTTTTTTTTTTTTTTTTTTTTTCAAATTATATTTTCTTTTTAAATAAAAGATAGAGAAGACACAATAAATTAAGAAGCGTGATAAATTCACAGTAATTATAACTCAGTATCAATAAAATAAATATGAATACACCAAAATAATAAATGATATGAGAGTTTCTTGATCAAACTCTTGATTGACTTTTGAGTTTTATAGTATGTCGATATTCGACAAAAGACAATATAAGTGAGTTGCAAGTAAAGAAAGATCCTTTGGTTCTATCAATTAAATGAATTACACAATAAAATTTATAGTTATACATGTTATTTCTAATTTTTTTTTCCAATTTCTTCACCGTGCGTGCAATCACTTTATAACAAATATAGTATTTTTTTCATATCCGATTATTTTCGAATTATCATATTATTATTTCAATGGGACACGAGGAGACACAAATAAGAACTTGTATGCGAAAAAAGAAATCAACCCCATATAAATTCAAAGCAGTAAAAGAAATTAAATCATTTGACATTATTTTGTTTATTCAACGTCTAAGATTATAAAATTACAATCCTCCCGCGTACACATATAGTTTCACCACGAGTATTTTTTCACTAAGTTATACGGAGGATATGTTCCGGAGAAATAAATTCCATCGCTTTTGGCGGCCCAATAGCATTGTTGAGAGGTGCAAATTTGGTCTTTCCATTGGGTATTGTAAACTTCGAATCCTTTACTCTTAGCGCCCCAAGTCAACCGACAGAAGAACAATGTTCTATCTGCTTGGCAAAACGAGAAGCGAAAATCTTGATTCACAGTGAGATTATGGTATCCGAGATCATTATCTCCCGATGCGCAATGCACCAACATCACCGAATTTGGTGGCAAATTGTTGACGACGTGAACTTGGTATTTTCCAGAAAATGTGCACGATCGGTCACCAATAGCCGTTGTTACATCGAATGCAATGTGTAAGAAGACTACAAAAAATAGCATGAAGCAGTTTAAGAAATAATTTGCCATATTTTTTTGGGGCCGGGAGAGTTTGAAAAATAAGTTATTTTTAATCTTGAACTTGTTTCAATTTCATGGACATATATATATATATATATATGTAAGAAAAAAAAATAAGATTACATCAGTATATGATTATTGTAAGAAGCTTTACATAATCTAAAGTAGAGTTGGATTGCAAATATATATCAACAATCATTTGGTATTGTATAAATAAAGAATCACTATTTTTCTTTTACAAATTATCATACTCCCTCCGTCCCAAATATCATGTCCATATTGCCATTTTTGTCCGTCCCACATACCATGTCACTTTTCTTTTTTGGAAAATGATTACACACTTTAATCTCATTTTAAATTTTTAATTTTTTTTAATTTTAATTAAACTAATTAGTTATCTTAATCTTAATTTATAATTATTCATATTATAAGATAATTATTTTCACTAATACATTCTTAATTATTTACTAATTACACCCCTCCTAAAATACCGTATCTACGGTATAGCAGACACGGTATCTGGGACGAAGGGAGTATTAAAATACTATTTAAACAAAAATTCAAATCAATATTTTATTTCAAATCAATTTCAAACAAAATAATAGAACTATTTTGAATATAATAATTATAACAATAACAACGATCTTATTGTGAAAGTATGAAATAATTGCTTTAGATTATGAAATAATATTATGATATTTAAATTATTCTAATTAGAGAATTTTGGTGTTTATATTTGATTTTTTTGGATTTTTCACATATTATGTTTTTTACCTGAAACAATTTTATATAAATATTATAAAAAATTTAAAATTTTATACGTATATTAACACAATAATATATATATTTTATTCACTAAAAAAATTAACAATTTAATATAAAATATTATTTTTTATATTATTAACACAATTTCTCATGCCTATCATAAAAGATAAATTCTCATTTATGTTTGTGAATTTTTCTTCCTTTATTTCAAATTAATTTTTAAAATTTATATTATTAAAATAATATTAAATTTAATTTCTATCTTATTTATAAATTATATAAATAAATAAAGAAAAAATTAATAATATTAATTAAAAACAATAAATGTTATCTCACTCTTCCATATAGAAAAGAGACAACATATGCGCAATATTTTTAAATGGATTGATTTTTTATGTCTGGTACCATGAATTATGTAAAAAGTATAAGATATATTATTTTAATTTGGATATTTGATTTTTTTTACCTTTTATAATGAATATTTGAAGACATTTTTTACTTTTATAAAAAGTATTTTGTATTGTTTATTATTATTTTTGGGGATTCCTAATGAAAAATAGTGTAGGGAGAACAAAGTGATTATATATATATATATATTTTTTAAAATAGTTATTCTTAGGGTGTGTTTGTTTGGGGGATTTGGATTTTGAGTTGAGATTTGAATAGTAAAAATTTTGAATTTGAATAATTGTATGATGTGATATAAATAGGCGTTGATGTGATGTTTTGAATGTAAAATTGATTTTTAGTATAATAAAAAAAATGAAAAATACGTGTTTGATTTGATATTTTTTTTTGGGGGGAAAAATGGAATAAATAGTGAAAATCTAATCCAATTCCCCAAACAAACACATCCTTAATATAAAAATTTATATGAACTATATTTTATTACGCGGCATAACCAAATAAGATTTGTGAGGATTCTTCAATGGTGAAGGAATACAATGTGTTGGATAATTGTTCAAATAAAGTCCTTACGAGCATCAGAAAAGTGTCAATTTCTCGAGTAAATGTGCATTACTGTTATGACCCACATTTGAAAAAATACAACACTTAAACATAATAAACTCACAATAATTACGTCTCAATGTCAACAAAATAAATGCGAATGCACAAAAGCAATAAATGACACAAGAGTTTGTTGACCCAATTCTTGATTGACCTTCAAGTTTTGTTGTAACCGATATTCGATGAAAGACCATACAAGTGAGTTGCAAGAGAAGGATGATCCTTCGTTTCTATCAATTATAATCAATTATACAATAAATTTTATAGTTATCTATGTTCTTTTTAATTTCTTTTTTCTTCCAATTTTTTTACAATGCAATATCTTTATAAAGATATATTAATTTTTCTTATAAAACATTTCACATCCAATTATTTTTATAGAATTATCATGTTATTATTTCAATTAGACATGAGGCCACACAAATCATAACTTGTATACAAAAAAGAAATCAACCTCAAATAAGTTCAATACAGTAAAAGAAATAAAATTATTTGACATTATTTTGTTTATTCAACGTCGAAGATCATAAAATTACAATCGTCCTGCGTACACATATAGTTTCACCACGGGTATTTTTTCACTAAGTTATGCGGAGGATATGTTCCAGAGAAGTAAATTCCATCGCTTTTGGCGGCCCAATAGCATTGTTGAGAGGTGCAAATTTGGTCTTTCCATTGCGTATTGTAAACTTCGAATCCTTTACTCTTAGCGCCCCAAGTTAAACGACAGAAGAACAATGTTCTATCCGCTTGGCAAAACGAGAAATGAAAATCTTGGTTCACAGTGAGATTATGATATCCGAGGTCATTATCTCCCGATGCGCAATGCACCAACATCACCGAGTTTTGTGGCAAATTGTTGACGACGTGCACTTGGTATTTTCCAGAAAATGTGCACGAGGCATCGCCGATGGCAGTTGTTACATCGGATGAAGTATGTAAGAAAATTACAAAAAATAACATAAAGCAGTTCAAGAAATAATTTGCCATATATATTTTTTTTTGGAAGGGAAGAGTTCGAAAAATAAATTATTTCTAATCTTGAACTTGTTTTAATTTCATGGGCATATATATATATATATGTGTAAGAAAAAAAATAAGATTACATGAGTATATGATTATTGTAAGAAACTTTACATAATCTAAAGTAGGGTTGGATTGCAAATATATATCGACAATCATTTGATACAGTTTTAAATAAAAAATCACTATTTTCTTTTACAAATCATTATATTAAAATAATATTAAAATAAAAATTTAAATCAATACTTAATTTCAAATTAATTTTAAACCACGACTAAACAAAATAATATAACTGTTTTAAATATAATAATAATAATATAACAATAATAACAATAATCTTATTGTGAAAGTATGAAATAATTGCTTTAGAGTGTGAAATAATATTATGAAATTTTAGATTATTATAATTAGCGTCCGTGTGTGTTTATTAGAGGATTTTGGTATTTATATTTGATTTTGTTGGGTTTCTTAACATATCGTGTTTTTATCTCGCACAATTTTTTATAAATATTATACAAAATACAAATTTTATATGTATATTAACACAATAATATATAAATTTTATTCACTAAAAATATGAACAATTCAACACAAAATATAAATTTTTATATTATCAACACAATTTCTTATACTTAACATAAAAGATAAATTCTCAGTTATGTTTGTAAATTTTTCTTTCTTTATTTCATATTAATTTTTAAAATTTATATTGTTAAAATATTATTAAATATAATTTTTATCTTATTTATACATTATAAAATAAATAAATAAATAATATTAATTAAAACAATAAATATTGTCTCACTCTTCCATATAGAAAAAGAGAATAGTTCACGCAATATTTTTAGATGGATTGATTTTTTATGTTTGGTATGACGAATTGTGTCAAAAATATAAGATATATTATTTTAATTTAAATATTTGATTTTTTTTCCTTTTTATAATGAGTATTTGAAGATTATATTTTAACTTTTTGACTTTTGTAAAAAATAGTATTGTTTATTATTATTTTTGGAGAATTCCAATTGAAAAATAGTATTGGAGAACAAAGTAATTATATATATATATATATTTCAAAATAGTTGTTTTTAATATAAAAAAATTATATGAAATATATTTTATTACGCGAAATAACCAAATAAGATTTGTGAGGATTCTTCAATGGTGAAGGAATACAATGTGTTAGATAATTGTTCAAATAAACTCCTTATGAACATAAAAAAAAAAATAAAAAAATGTCAATTTCTCGAGTAAATATGTAATAATGTTATGACCTACACTTGAAAAAATATAACAATTAAACACAATAAAGTCACAATAATTACGCCTCAGTGTCAACGAAACAAATGCGAATACCCCAAAGCAATAAATAATACAAGAGTTTGTTGACCCAACTTTCGATTGACCTTCGAGTTCTGTTGTAGCCAATATTCAAGTGAGTTGCAAGAGAAGGATGATCCTTCGTTTCTATCGATTAAAATCAATTATACAATAAATTTTATAGTTATCTATGTTCTTTTTTATTTTTTCCCCCAATGTTTTACAATGCAATCTCTTTGTAAAAATATATTCTCTCTGTCCCATAACAAATTATTTATTTTTCTATTTGAGTCCGTCTTATAACAAAATATTTATTTTCTTTTTTAGTAACTGTACTATTTACCTAACATTACAAATATCATTAAACCTACAATATATTATACAAATATCATTACCTTTATATCACACCATACTAATAAGATTATTTTAATCATTTCTATTTTATTCCTACTAAATATCAATATAATACTGATATACCTTAAAGGACAAAGATAGTATTATTTCTTCTTATAAAACATCTCACATCCAATTATTATTCTAGAATTATCATGCTATTATTTCAATTGGACATGAGGCTATACAAATCAGAACTTGTATGCAAAAAAGGAAACCAACATCATATAAAATCAAAATAATGAAGAAAATAAAATTATTTGATATTATTTTGTTTATTCCACGTCGAAGTTCATAAAATTACAATCCTGCGCATATATATATAATTTCACCAGGTATTTTTTCACTAAGTTATGCGGAGGATATGTTCCAGAGAAGTAAATTCCATCGCTTTTGACGGCCCAATAACATTGCTGAGATGTGCAAATTTGCTCTTTCCATTGCGTATTGTAAACTTCGAATCCTTTACTCTTAGTGCCCCAAGTCAAACGACAGAAGAATAATGTTCTATCCGCTTGGCAAAATGAGAAATGAAAGTCTTGGTTCACAGTGAGATTATGGTATCCAAGATCGTTATCTCCCGATGCGCAATGCACCAACATCACCGAGTTTGGTGGCAAATTGTTGACGACGTGCACTTGATATTTTTCACTAAATGTGCATGATCGGTCACTGATGGCAGTTGTTACAACGAATAGAATGTGTAAAAAGACGGCAAAAAATAACATGAAGTAGTTCAAGAAATAATTTGCCACTTTTTTTGGGAGGGGGTTTGGAAAATAAATTATTTCTAATCTTGAGTTTGTTTGGAGGTTTGGATTTTGAGTTGGGATTTGAATAGTAAAAATTTTGAATTTGAATAGTTGTATGATGTGATATAAATAGGTGTTGATGTGATATTTTGAATGTAAAATTGATTTTTAGTATAATATAAAAAATGAAAAATAGGTGTTTGATTTGATGTTTTTGGGGGGAAAAAATTGGATGAATAGTAAAAGAAAAATCCAATTCCTCAAACAAACACACCCTAAGATTATATGAGTATAGGATTATTGTAAAAATTTTTAGTAATCTAAAGTAGGGCTTGCATTGCAAATATCTAACAATATATAATAGAAAATTGTTTGAATATAATAATAATAATAATAATAATAATAATAATAATCTTATTGTGAAAGCATAAAATTGTTCTAACGGGTGCGTGTATTTTTAGAGCAATTTTTTTTTTTAAAAAAAATAAATTTAGATTTAAGACAATGTACATTGGAGAATTGAGTGTGTTTATTATTTTACATGATGCCTGAAAAATACGCCGGTAATATAAAAATTAATAATAATTGCGTAATAATATATAAGTAGAAATAATTATTATATAATATAAATAATTATAAATTAAAATAACTAATTAATTTAATTAAAATATATATATAAATTCGATAATTAAATATAAAATTAAAATATATAATTATTTTTAAAAATTGACACGAGATTTGTGATTGACAAAAAAATAATATAAATATGATAGGCGTGAGGATGCGAGTACAAATTTAGAGAAAAATAAAAAAATTTCACATGAAATTTAATATTAACAAGAATTAATTGAAAAACATATCATGTTATAACCAAGTACCCACAACATAAATTTTTTGAACTAACCAACACTTGAATTGACCTAACGATCAAATCAAATCTAGATATCAATTGGTCATTTATTTTCCGGCATTGAATCTTTTGGTATTGTCGGTAGAATGGAAACAGTTTCTTTAACATATTTTTTTTGTTGTCTTTTTGTAATTTTTTTTCGATCGTTAAAAACAAAATTTTGCAACGACGAGTAATTTAATCCAATCAAGTTGATTTATTGTCATGTAGCGCCGAAGATAAACTTTCAATATATGATTAATGTGCTCGCAAACATTGTCTTTTTTCGAATCTTACCACATGAATAACTTGGTTGTCTTTTTTTTTTTTTTTCCATATACTCTTAGGTGTCGTAATAAGCCCGTCCCGATATAAAATTCATAGGCTTTAGAACCGTCTTGTCATAAGTTTTCTTGATTCATGGCTAACTAATTAGGAGAATTCATCTTATTTTGTAAAATATATATTTTCTTATAGGTCATAAATATGATATAATTAAACACTTTAGAAATTGAATATAAATTAATTTAAATTAAAAAAAAACATCAATTACAAAATTAGTGATAGATTTTTCAATCTTATCGACATTCATGTAGTGATGATTGTGGTAGTGTAAAAGGACGATTTGATCGAAAGATACAACATAATGAAAATTATGAAAAAATTAATAAAGACGGTATCGATATAGAATTATAAATTTAGATAATATAGATAATTAAAAAAACATATAATATTAATTTATAAAATTATTACTTTAAAAAAATTTGAATTTACTATCCAATTGTCATCATGATCTAGAATGACAGTATTCTCATGACATCAGTGTATAAAATATAAAAATGTATTTTCCCGTAAAGAGTACCTAAGTTTTTGCTGTAAATAAACTTATTTTCTTCTTGACGACTATAGCGAATTTTCTATCTTTCTACATCATATTTTTTTATGCTGTCCTAATATATACTCTATCGATTTTGCGTTAACATATATATATTTTTATTATATTCCGTTTCGCATTAATATATATATATATTTTTAATAACTATGAATCCCACTTTTTAATTTTACAAATATTCTTATTTTACTATTATATAATTACTGCTTCCTTCGTTCCGGTGCAAGGTTGTCGTTTACTTTTTGCACGTAAATTTTTTAATATTAGTATTATAATGGGTTGTAGTGAAAAAGACAAAAATGCTTCTATTAGTATTGTGTGATATAAAAGTAATGACATTTATGTAATATAGTGTAAGTATAGTGTAAGTTGGAAGGATAAGGATATTTATTATGTTAAGTAGGTAGTATAATTACTAAATTAGGAAATGGTAACTTTGTTTTGAGACGGACGAAAATAAAAAATTATTATTTTTCAACGGGACGGAGAGAGTATTATTTTTTAATTTTGTACCAAAAGTAAATATATATCTTACACTGGGACGGGGAGAGAGTATTGTTTATACTCTCTATGTCATTCAAATTTATTTTTAATTTTATTTTTTGGTTGTCATATAATTTATTCTTGTTATTTTATTTAATAAAAATATAGATCTGCCACGCAAATGCCACCTAGGCGTTGAGGACTAAATTTAAAAAAAAATTCACTTACGAGACTAGTTTAAGATAATTTTCAGTTACGGAACTAAAATGATAAAGATGTCAAGTTACGGGACTAAAAAACAGTTTACCTTTTAAAATATTGTAATAAATTTATAATTTTATCGCTAAATTGCATAAAAGCTACATGTGTTTCATATAATTGCGCTAAATTTCATATACTTCTAAAACTACGTCAAACTCCCTCGTGGTTTCATAAATTCTGCGTCTAACCCCTTCGAATAAATGTGCCCAAACTGCAAGTAAATTTTAGAATCTCAATTTCTAAACCCCTAACATTATAAATATATTTATTTTTTTTATATTCAGCCTAAAAAAATAGTAAATATACTAAAATATAGTTATTTTTTTCAAGTTTTAAGAATTTATTTTTACTATTTTTTTAGGCTAAATATATAAATAATAAATATATTTATAATTTTAGGGGTTTAGAAATTGAGATTTTAAAATTTATTCCCAGTTTGGGCGCATTTAGGTCAAATACCGTTAAATAAGGACCGTTGAGAGAGTTTATGAAACCACGAAAGAGTTTGACGCAGTTTTAGAAGTATGAAGAATTTGACACAATTTCGTAAAATTACATGTAAATTTTGTGCAATTTAGCTTAATTTTATTCATAATATTAGTATTTGTTATATATATATATATATATTATATTTGATTATTAAATGTTTGATTTTTAAAAAATATTTTAAAAACTTTTGAAAGAAAACAACTGGTACTTCAATTATATGTTGACAGCTCAATGGTATCACTAAATGCAAACCTTGGGCCCACATTAATGATCTAACTCGAATTTCAGAAATTATCGTACATATTTTTAATGTGTGTTTTTATATTTTATGCTTTATTTTAATAAAAATATTTTTGAATATAATATTTTAATTAATAATATAACAATTTTTATTTTTTATTATTATAATTTAATTATATATTTTTAGTAGATAGATTTCTTTTTTTTAAGTCTATCTACTAAAAATATATTTATACCATATTTAGAAAATAAAAATAAAAATAAAAATAAATCCATTTGACCGCAATTTTTTAAAAAATAAGTAAAAAAGTAGAAATATTTTTTTTAGTATAAAAAAATAAAAATAAGTAATATTGTTTTTTACTAAAAAGATAAATATGAATAAATTTAAATGAAAATTAAATAATGAAAACAAAAGAAAAATGAAAATGAGAATAATTTAGATGATAGAAAAAATACTACTCACTCTATCCTAATAAAAATAGTCTTTTTTACTATTTTTGTCCGTCCCAAAATAATAGTCTTACTATTTTTATCACTATAAACTCGTTTTACTTTTTCATTATTATTACACAATTGCTACTACTTTTTTTTACAGTAATACACTTACAAGGGTAAAAAAATATTTTACTCGTATTTTTATCCACTACTAATATAATATCAATATTTCTTAAATATCATGTCAAACACAACTCAAGACTATAATTTTGGGATGGAGGGAGTATTTAACATATTCAGCTTGGTACCTAAACATGTGTGTGTGTTTTTTTTTTTTTTAATATAATATATTTCTCTAAAAAAAATTAATATATTATAAATATTTATTATTTTTATATTATTTACATAATTTTTTTTTATCATTCCTATAAAAATATAGTATTTTTTAAATTATTTTACAAAACAAAAATATCATATGTAATATTTATTTTTCATGTAAACATTTTAAAACACCGATCAAATTAATTGGGATCTTCAAGGAAATCATGTGTTTTGTTTCAAAATTTTATTATTTAACTCACATTATTTTAAATAAAATATATATATATATATTAAAAAATATTATTTTATAATAAAATTCAAATAAAAACGGTGAATTAAACTAATCTCTGATTTGACCCACAAATGGCCTCCTTATCTAGTCAATAATAATGTTGTTGCATGTGATAATGTCTACTTAATATGTAGTAGTATTAATTTTTTAATTTAATAAATATGATAATTAATAAAAAATAAAATACTAATATATTTCATTTAAAATTGTCTTTGTATTAAAAATTTTTATTTTATTTACAAGTTCTCCAATATATCTCTCAAAAGAATATATACTCCCTCCGTTCCAAAAGAGTCATCTTATTGGAGTTGACACGAATAATAGTATTTAATTGAAAGTTGGTATAAAGTAGAATATAAAAGACTAAAATGCCCTTGTTTTTCGAAAAAATTTTAAAAAGTAGACTAGAATAATAATTACGGATAGTTTGGAAAAGTAGGAATAATTTTGCTAAAAAGTGGGGACCACAACTACTAAATAAGAAAATAAAACAATTATTTTGGGACGAACGAAAATTGAAAAACAAGACAACTCTTTTGGGACAGAGAGAGTATTTTTTATGTCGCGAGAACGTCTCTTTTCAAATGATATTTTAATTAGTACACTTTTCTATATTTATATCTCATTTTTTTATTTCTTACATTTTAAATATAATTTATAAAATTATTCTAAATAAAATAAGAACAAAACTAAAAAAACTGTAATAAAATCATACATAATAAAAATTATTAAATAAAAAGTATTATTTAAATAGTTTTTTTCATTTGAGATTTTATGATAGTATACTTTTATAAGAAATTCTACAAAATAAATAATGCTAATTTTAATTTGAATATTAAAAAATAAATAAATAAATAAACCTTGTAATAGTTGCATTGTTCTAGATTTTGTAATATTTTTATTGTTAACTAAAAATTATTAAAATATTTTAAAGAATTGTCACATGAATACTTTTTTTATTGAAAATATTATATATAAAATAAAATAAAATAAAAACAAGTGTACCCTAATTTTGAGCACAATATGATTACAAATTCATCTTTATTTTTTTGTGGCCATATATAATAAACGCACGTTTTTTTCAATGTTTATTTAAACTATTTTCTGTAACCAATCCGATCCCATCATCTAGAATCGATTACTATCCCAAAATAATAATTACTCCCTCCATCCTACCACATTTGATACTATTTCCATTTTTGTTTGTCCCGTAACAATTGACATATTTCTATTTTTGATAAAAATTATTAAATTAAAACATATTTAACAAATATAAATCAACTTAATTAACTACGTAACATACAACATCATAAATGACGTAGGATCTAATTAAAACCCCTTTATTTCTACCTCTCTTCTAAAAAAATAAATATTTTTATCTATATTTAAAACTACACATCTTTTATATAATTGATTTATGTTAATTATAAATAAATAAAAAATCGTTTTTTTACTTACTTGTATTATAGGAAATTTTATTCTCTACAAAATGATATCCATATTGCATATATTTTTTAATTGCTATATAATTTTTAAATATTTAAAAATATATTTTAATTTTTTTTAATTATATATATTAAATTTACTTTGAAAATATAAATATTATTAATTATTAAAAAAATAATATAATAATATCATAAATAATTATTATTAACTAATTAAACATCATCGCCTTAAATACCGTGTTCCTAATCAAAGGGTTCAACTCCAGTAGGACGGAGGGAGTATTAATTTACATAAATAAGTTAATTAATTAATTAATAAAATAAAATAAAATTCAATAGTTCAACACTCTCATTTTCCACGTGCCTTTTTAAAAAAAAACACTAATTGGATATTACCAAATATAATCCACCAAGGTTCTTTCATATCCATATATATATACACACATATAGATACATGTTCTAAGCTCCAAGCTCCACCCATGGAAGGAAAATCTACAGCCGTTGATTTCTTCAGCATGGAGAAGAGATCCAACGGCCCTCATTCCGCCACGCATCCTCCCATCTACCAGCGCAGACGAAGCTTCCGCGGTTCGTTCGTTACTCACAACCATTTTATTTTTTATTTTTTTTATTTTTATCTTCAAATATATATATATATATTTTTTATTTGTAAAAAATGTTGAACATAATTAAATAAATAATTAAATAATTAATTATTGCAGATATACAAAGCATCGTTACGAAGATGAAACCAGAAGTAGTGAGAAGTGTGATTGCAAATGGAGGGTGGAATTCCCAAAATACCCCTACCTATTCTTACTGTGATCCCACGCTTAGGTTAATTCATCCTTCGCATTATTTGATTGAATTTAATTATTGATTTCAATAAAATTATTGTGTTATCTTTCTAAATAATTTATATAGTCATATTATTGATTATTTAAATTAATTTAATTTTGTTTGTAGGCTGAATAATGATGATTGCACTACTACTTCTGCTCCAATGACCATTTTCTACAATGGAATGGTTTCTGTTTTCCAAGTTTCGCCCAAAGAGGTTCACTCTGTTTTTGTTTTTATTTTTATTTTATTTATATATAATTTATATATATCAATATTATTTTATTATAAAAATATTACATCTAAATTGTAAATAAGAGAATTACAAAAAATATAATTGATAAATAATTAAAAAGCATATTAATAAAAGTAATTATTATAGTCTCTCCGTCCACCTATAAGAGTCACATTTATCTTTTGCGTCATTATATTTAATATTAAAATTTTTTTATATTTGTATAATTTTTTGTACAAATGTCTTTCTATTACAAGACACTAATTGAAGTATTTTTGCATTTTTTCTTAATTTATATTATGTTTTGATATAACAATTAATATTCTAATATCAACATGTAAATAAAACCCTTTGAGTCGGACGGAGATAATATAATATATAAATAATTACATATTAAATTTAAGATAACTAATTAATTTTTAAGTAAGATTAAAATTTTAAATGAAGATTAAGATTAAAAATATAATTATTTTCCCAAAAAAAAGTAAATTATGTAGAACAGACTGAAATGAAAAACATGAATAATTTATGTAGGATAAAATAAGTATAATATATAAACACAAATTAAAATAACTTTATTTTATACTATGAAAATTTAGGTTGTGTTTGAGGGTAAGGTTTTTGTTTTGATTTTATTATTATTATTATTATTATTATTATTATTATTATTATTTATTATTACAAAAATTATATCAAATACCTACTTTTAATTTGTTATATTACATGTTATTTGATGTAATATAAATGTGCTAATTTATTATATTACACTAAAACTTAATGTTACATTCAAAATATCATATTAACACATATTTATATTACATTAAATAACTATTTTAATTCAAAATTTTACTATTCAAAACAATAATCCCACGAACAAAACACCCATGTTCGTATTTTTTCAGTGTTAAAAAAATTTTAATTTCTTATTTTTTAAATGACTATCTCACGTAAAAGTTAAATATGAACATATGCATATTATAGCTATTATATAATCAATCAATATATCCCTTATGTGCACTGCGAATTTATGTCACATTCGATTCTTGAATGTGACGTTAACAAATGAGGGGTTAAAAAATTCAAACACATGACGTTCCGTCTTTAATACCATATTAAATTATCATTTAACTTTAAAAAAAGTCGGATCTATAATACAATATTAAATGATCATTTAACATGATTGTTAATTATTGTAATCTGTAAAAATATTACTCCATCCGTCTCACTTATCATGTCCGCATTATCGTTTCTGTCCGTTCTATATCTTATATCACTTTCCTTTTTTGGAAAATGATTATACACTTTAATCTCATTTTAAATTTTTTAATTTTAATTAAACTAATTAGTTATCTTAACCTTAATCTATAATTATTTATATTATATGGTAATTATTTTTACTAATACATTCTTAATTATTTACTAATTATACTTATCCTAAATTTATGTATGTACATTGATCCATACATCCAATGTGGGACGGAGGGAGTATTAAAATTTTTATTTTTATTATTCTATAAATTATTTGTGAAATAAAAAATATATATTTTAATGAAAATTATATATTGCGAGATAAAAATTGAAAATGAAAAAAAAAATTGGTAAAAAAGAAGAACTTTCTATCAATTGGATTTTTTTGTTAAAATTGTACAGTCCAAAATAAAAATATATATACATTCTAACTAGACGGATGATGTAATATATTTTTATTGAAAATTATCCGAGACGAATAATGAATATGGAGATTCAGGGTTGTCGTAAGTCTATTGAATGAACATTATTTAGTATGTTACCATTGACAAAAAATTTAAAAAATATAGATACACATCACATAAAATATAAATATAATATATGAACTGACACAATATTACAATGTTCGACATAATATATGTTACAATTGATTCTACCACAAAAAATATATTCATATAACACATAAAATATGAACGGACAACATATAATTTCATGTGTTTTGAAACTATAGACTCCATATGTTTTAATTCAAAGTATCTATTTTCTATTTTAAAAAAATTAGTCGTATATTAATATAAAAATACCCTTAATTTTTACTTAAATTACAAATATATCATTACACATATAATTATTTTATACGTAAACTCAAATTTGTACAAAATATTTTATATATTGATATTATGATCATATATATATATATAATGTATTGTATGAAATGATTTGTGAATGATAAATATTGTTGTAGGCACAAGGCATTTTAAAAGCTGCAGATGATATGCTTCCATGACAAGAAAATCTGGCTTGCTCTACTTGTATGTATATATTTATTTATCTTTTTGTAATAGATTATAAAATATATTATTTTGCAATTTATGTTCAAAATAATAATTATTAAATAGTTGTTTGTAATGATATATATACTTTGTTAATGATGTGATAATTCTTTTTCCTATAATATATATATATATAAACTTATATGAAATAAAATAGTAAAAGTTATTTTCTTCGCTCTAAGGCCATCTCCAACTCTTCACTTCATTTTTACAGTTGTGCAGTTTGATCTACAGTAATTTTACTCTAATTATAAACTTCAATTTTTACTCTAAAAAGTATATTCTCTATATATTCTTCTTTTATATTATTTTATATAACTTTTCATATTTATAAATTACATCTTAACTTTAATTTATTTTTATATTAGATCTATACACATATAATTTATAAATTATTTAAAAATTACATATATAAAAATTAACATTTATAAATAATAACTATTACAAATAAAAATAATTTTAAATAAATAATTAAATGCTATCACTTTTAAAAAAAAATAAAAATTATATCACTTTTCAAACAGTAAAATTATATATCAATTTAAAAAATAAAATTATATATTACCTTCCAAAAACTAAAATTATCTCACTTTTAAAAAATAAAATTATACATTATTTTTCAAAAAAAATAAAATTACATACAACTTTTTAAAATATAAAATTATATATCATCTACTAAAAAATTAAAATTACACGATATACAAAAAAAAAATACCAAAAATATAAAAAATACTACAAAAACTCCACTCCATTTTTGGAGTGGAGTTGATTCCTGCAAAAATGGGGGGATTTTGGGGTGGGTTGGAGCCCCTCCCCCATTTTTGGTACAACCCACTGGTTGGAGTTACTCTAATAATCTATTTCTTTGAAATTTTATAGTAGATTAAAAAATAATAATATTTTATTTATTAGTAGAAGTGTGTAAAAAGTTTTAATATCTTTGTCATTTTAACTTTACTACGTGTAAAGTAATTATATATGTAATGGTATATTTGTAATTTAAGTAAAAATTAAAGATATTTTGATATTAGTATATAATTAGTTTTACAAAAATAAAATAAAATATATTTTGAATAAGATAAACGACAAAAATGATAAAAAAATAGTATTTTAAATTAAAATAAAAAGAATAGTATATAATTAATCAATATTAAGAGAGTATTTATTAATTTATGGGTTGTCCATAAAAAAAAACAAAAATAAAATAGATATTATTATTTTTTAATCTACTATAGTTTATCTATCCCAAAACAATATAATAATAATAATAATAATTAGACGTCCATTATCTTCATACATATATTTCTATAAATTTTATTTGAATTTGAATACAATTTTAGTGTATAATATATCTTTGGATGTGTGTCTGTGTATTTCTACTGTGTACTCCCACAATCTCATAAATATAGTCTTAATTGAGTTGACTACGAAATTTAAGGGATATTGATATTATATTGGCAGTTGGTAAAAAATATGAATAAATTTTTTTTTTTTTGTCCTCATGAGTGTATTAATGTAAAAAGTAATAAAAATGAAAAAAAAAGTAGGGGTAGTTTTACGGTGATATGGTTATTTATGAAAATAAGACTATTATTTTGAGACGAAAAAAATGGTAAACAAGACTATTGTATTGAGGATATATTTTTTCGCTGTTCATTTCATGTAATTTTTTTTGTACGATAAATATTTAATTTGATAATTTTCGCGTTCGAAAACAATATTTGTCTGTCTCAAAATAATAATTTTATTTTTATTTTTGGTAACTATTTCTCCATTCTTTTATAAAACTATCTTCACTTTCCTCACAATAATTACTCAAAGTAGGATGATTCTGATCTTTTAGAAATATTTTTACACTCAATATTAATATAATACTAATATTTCTTAATTTTGTGTTCATCTAAACCTATTGTTTAGGAAGACCTTGTAGAATTTTATATCTAAATTATCACTTTAATACTTTTATGTTGGTCTTTATTTAATCAAATATAATAAATTATGTATTAATTAGTTTTTTTTTATTATATAATCTATTACATTAACTATAACTATTTTTTTCTTCAATTCAATAATACTCAATTTTTCTAATAAATTAAAAAATAATACTCCCTCCGTCCAGCTAAAAAGTATGCATATTTCTATTTTGGGACGTCCAATTACAAAGTAACCATTTCATTAAATATCCAATTTTTTCCACAAATACCCCTACTTTACATCACATCATTACTTTTATACCAAAAAAGTAAGGGCAAAAATGTCATTTCACTACTTTTACCTACACACTATAATTAAAATATTATTATTCCTTAATCTTCGTGCAAAAAATAAATATATACTTTTAGCTTGAACGGAGGGAATAATATTTTATTAATTAGTAAATATATAAGATAATTTTAATAGTTTTATTTTTAAAAGTAAAAAACAAAAAAAAATTAACAATTTTGTAAAATTAAAAATATTTAATATTTAATTGTAATTAATTTTACTATGAAAACAAATATTTTTGGAAAAAAAAAATAAAAATAGTAAAAAAGATATATTAAATTGGAATTGACGGACATTCCATCATATAAAATAAACATAGCCAATCAAATACTTTTATTGTTTTTATTTTTTACTATAAAATAAAAAATAGTATTTATTATTTATTTTTATTAAAATTCGTGTTCAATCAAATAAATATAATTTTCGATACCAATGAAATAATTAATTTATATATATATACATAAAATCTAGAATTTTTAAGCTGAAAATGATACAATTATTTTAAATTTGTTTGGTTTTAATTTTAATTTTAATTTTAAATACTTTATTTGTATGATACTTTATGTTATATTCTATTATAAAAATATTAAATTGAAATACTATTTAATTTTTTTAAAATTTAAATAAAGAATTCAAACTCAAATTAAAATCAAACAAAAAGTTTTACAAGTATAATTATTGTAGTTTAATTCATTTTAGTTGGCTTCAGCACTAATTATTCGCGTGTTATATATTTAATTTTATTTATTAAAGTCACACTCCAACAGGTAAATATACAGTCGTAAAACGTTTTTTATTTTGCCCTTACGCTATGGACCACGTGTAATAATAAAACCACACATGTCGGAAAATATGTATGTCCGATCCATCCAATATAATTGAATATTTTCATTATTGATACCATATTAAAAAAAATAAGATTAAACTGGTTTTTTAATCTCGGACTTTTTATCATTTTAGTCATGGGTTGTCTTAAACTAGTATTCTGTAAGTAAATTTTTTTTTCAATTTAATCTTCAATACCTAGGTGGGATCTGCTGGCAGGCTGGCGGACAGGCCAGATCAGCGCCACGTGGCTGACACTTGTCCATTATGTGGATTATTTTTATTTTTATTTTTTTTAAATATAAAAAAATTATAATTATAAAAATAAAAATAAAAATATAATTAAAAATAAAAAATAAATAAATAAAAAGTAAAATTATTCATATGTACGTCAAGTCAACACTATATATTAGTATATTTTTTTAGTTATATTTTTTATATTTTATTTTTATTTTTAATATAAAAAAATATAAATTATCCACGTTGCGAAAACGTGGAGCTGATTTGACGAACATGTGGATAATTTTTATTTTTTTATATTTTTATTTTAATTTTTATATATTTTATATATTTAAATTTTTATTAAAAATAAAATTAGAAAGTCCGTGGCAGACATGTGGTGCTGATCTGGCCGACACATGTCCGTCCGTCTACCACGCAAATGCCACCTAGGCATTGAGAACTAAATTGAGAAAAAAATTCACTTACGGGACTAGTTTAAGACAATCTTCAGTTTTGAGACTAAAATAATAAAGGGTCCGGTTACGGAACTAAAAAAATAGTTTACTAAAAAAATAATTCTTAATTAATTAATAGTAGGGAATTAAGATTTTATTATTATTTTTTATATACTTAATTAATTAATAGTAGGGAATTAAGATTTTTTAATTATTCTTTTATATAATTAATAATATTAGTAGTTTTAAATAAATTAATATACTCTCTATGTCCAGGCAAAGATGAACCTTTTTGTTAAAGATATAGTATTTTAGGTAATGTAGATTAGTAAGTTATTAATAATAAGTTATAATATTATTTTATTGATTTTTTTAATATGAATAGTATTTTTTGTATTTTAAATATATTTAAGATTACCACTTAATAAAATATATGCAATATGAATATTATTTTATAAATAATAAAATTTATATAATACAAATAAATAAAAAATATACTCTCTTCGTCCCATAACTAAATATCCATTTGCTTTTTACACGTAGTTTTAGATATATTAGTATTATATTTGGATGTAGTAGGAATAAAATAGAAATGACTAAAATAACCTTATTAGTATGTGATATAAATTTAATGACATTTGTATAATATATTGTAAGTTGTAAAGTTATTTGTAATATTAGGTAGATAGTATATTTACTAAAAAAAGAAATGGATACTTTGTTACGAGACGGACTAAAATGAAAAAATTGATACTTTGTTATGGGACGGATGAAGTATTTCTTTATTAATAATTAACTTAAAACTGATTTCATTAAAAATAAAAGTTCTAAGTACAGGTAAAAATAATTTGTTTATTGAGGAAATATAGACATAAAAAGGTTTTGAGTGGCCCTACGTGTAAGAAGTTAGAAAATGTAATTAAATTGATTTATATTTGTTAAGTAAGTTTAAGATAAATAAATTTACTAAAAATAGAAAACCACCCTCTTTTGTAAGACGAATAAAAAAGAAAAATATATCATGTGTGGCTAGGTCGTGCAAAAATTAGCACAACCTGAAAGTCTGGTCCAAATACGGCATGAAAATACTATGCTTGGGCCTAAAAAAAATAGGCCCGAAAAATTTCGGGCTATATCTAGCCCGACACGCTAATCAACCGGGCTGTGCCCGGACTCATGAAGGTCGGGTTGTGCCTGGCCCGGTCTGAATTTAAAAATTAATATTTAAATTTCAATAAATATATATATATATTAATATTTGATATAAAGACAAATTAAAACAAAGTTTGATGGTAAAGTTCTTAGCTTGTATTTATAAGGTTGTAGGTTGAATTCTTCATTTCTACTATTAAAGTATATTAAAAACGGGTCGGTCCATATAAAAAATTTTATAATACAAGTAAATAAAAAATTA